TGTAGCCACGTAAAAAGAGTTTAGCAATGTTCCTTCTGTTTCTATAGTGTGAAACAATTTGTAGAGTATTGGTACTAGTTCTTCTTTGAAAATCTGGTAGAATTCTGTGCTGAAACCATCTGGTCCTGGGCTTTTTTGGTTCGGATACTTTTGATGACTGTTTCTATTTCCTTAGTGGTTATAAGTCTATTTAATTTGCTTATCTGGTCTTGATTTAATTTTGATATATGATATTTATCCAGAAAATTGTCCATTTCCTTTAAGTTTTCCAATTTTGTGGAGTACAGGTTTTTGAAGTATGACCTGATATTCTGAATTTCCTCCATATCTGTTGTTGTGTCCCCTCTTTCATTTCTGATTTTGCTAATTTGGACATTCTCTCTCTGCCTTTTGGTTAGTTTAGATAATGGTTTGTCTATTTTGTTGATTTTCTTGAAGAACCAACTCTTTGTCTCATTGATTCTTTGTTTTGTTTTCTTTGTTTCTATTTTGTTCATTTCAGCTCTCAGTTTGATAAATTCCCACCATCTACTCCTCATGAGTGAGTTTTCTTCTTTTTGTCCTAGGTCTTTCAGGTATTCTGTTGATTTGCTAGTGTGGTGTTTTTCCAGCTTCTTGATGTAGACATTTATTGCTATGAACTTTCTTCTTAGTACTGCTTTCATTGTGTTCCAGAAATTTGGGTATGTTGTGCAGTCATTATCATTGAATATTAGGAAGTCTTTAGTTTCTTTTTACTTCTTCCTTGACCCAGTGGTGATTCAGTTGAGCATTGCTCAGTTTCAGTGAGTTTGTGGATTTTCTGCAATAAGTGTTGTTGAATTTTAACTTTAAGCCATGATGGTCCAATAAAACACAAGGGATTATTTCAAGGTTTTTTTGTTTTGTTTTGTTTTGTTTTTTTGTACTTGTTGCTATTTCTTTGTTACCAAGTATGTTGGAGAAGGATCCATGAGGTGCTGAGAAGAAGATATATTCTATTGGGTGAAATGTTCTATAGATGTCCATTAAGCCCATTTGAGTAATAACATTTCTTAGTTCCCTTATTCCTCTGTTAAGTTTCTGTCTGGCAGACCTGTCCAGTGGTGACAGTGGGGTGTTGAAGTCTCTCATTATTAGTTTGTGTGGCATGATGTGTGATTTAAACTTTGGTAATGTTTCTTTTACAAATGAGAGTGCCCTTGTATTTGGGAGATAGATGTTCAGAATTGAGGCTTCATTTCAATGGATTTTTTTCCTGTGATGAATATGATATGACCTTCTTCATTTCTTTTGTTTAATTTTAGTTTGAAGTCTATTTTGTTTGATATTAGGATAGCTATGCTAGCTTGTTTCTTAGGTCTATTTGATTGGAAAATCTTTTCCAACTCTTTACTCTGAGGTAATGTCTGTCTTTGTAGTTGAGATGTGTTTCTTGTATGCAGTAGAAGGATAGATTCTGTTTTCATATCTAATCTACTAGCCTGTGTCTTTTTATAGGTGAATTGAGTCCATTGATATTAAGGGATATTAATAATCAGTGATTGCTAGTTTCTGTTATTTTTGGTTTTGGTGATATTGTTTGTGTGTTTTTCTTCTTTGAGACTTGCTGGTGTGGGATTATCTATTGCCTTTGTTTTTGTGAGTGTAGCTAACTTCCTAGGATTGGAGTTTTCCTTCTAGTACTTTCTGTAGAGCTGAATTTGTAGATAGGTATTGATTAAATCTGGTTTTGTCGTGGAATGTCTTGTTTTCTCTGGTGGTCAGATAATTTCTGGAGGCCACTGACGTCACTACAGATTTAATCTTAAATTTACATCATTATACAAAAATTTATATCAATGTAAAATATTTAAGACCATTAGTTGCTTTCTTGGTTTAGAAGTAGATTCAATAATCTACCTTTTAATCCTATCATTTTATAATATATATATATATATATATACATACATACATTTTTTTCTAAGAGGGAGCAGGAGGGGAATCTCCACACTTCGAGGCAGAGGTCTGGAAGTAAGTAGATCGGTGCTTTTACCACAATATGCTAGTTAACAGTCATAGCGTCCTCTCAGACTCCAGAGGAGGGAAAAGAGGATTCAGGCTTTGGTGTGAGGGACGGCCTGAGTCTGTATAATGAGGAGAAATGCTGGCGCTTTCTTTGGAAAGGAGCTGCCAGGGGCTCATGATCCCCCCACCAGCGAAAGCTCTGCTCAGCTGCTTGTGCTACTGAGACACGTGAGGATTCACAGTGACTCGTGTTCTAAAGCAGGATGGAGACAGAAAGCGTTTGGCTGTAGACAGAGGCTCCCCTGTGTTCCGTGCACCCAATACTGCTCCCCTCCACCTCACCAAGCAGAGATGAGGGAGGGGAGGGGCAGACAAGGAAAGGCACGTCTGATGTGGCCCATCTTAGTGACTTTACAAAAGGAATCAGTCAGAGCAGGCATTTGTCCCAGCAGCTTTCTCTCCTAGCTGTCTTGGAGGCCCTATCACTCCTCAAGCTCTATTACACGGCCTCCTGCTGTCAAGAAATTGCCGCATGTTGAGGATATGTGACGTGAGAACCATGTGTTCCGTGGGACCGACTCGCTCACACCTGCTTTATCTGGAGCAGGAGCCAGACTGCAGGGTGTTCCTAAGCCAGAGAATGGAATCCTATTTTAGCCTCTGTGCTGAGTTTGGCACACCAAAAGCCAGCTCTTCTTATTCCACATTCTCAGGGGCAGTTATTACTTGTCTCTTGACCCCACAGCAAGCTCTGTTTCGATTGCATGTGTGAAAAAGGTGGACCATGCTACCAAGGCCCCACTCAGAAGCGTGGCTACGGACTCCCCAGGTGCCCGAGGAAAGGGAAATGCCACACCTGCGGCTGAATCTGAGCTGGGAACCTCCTGGCCTTACTCAGGAAGGGACATGTTGGCAGAGGTGAAGAGAAAGAACATCAAAGACAACATCCTCCCAGGGTCATATTTCATCAGTGTCAAAAAATATAGAAAGTCTGGGCATAGTGTCACACACCTGTAGTATCAGGATTTGGGTTACTTAGGTAGGAGTTTCGGACCAACCTGAGCTACAGTGTGAGACCATGTCTTAAATGAATAAAAAGATCAGATGTAGAAAGAGTCAAATCATCCTTGTGACCCTTCAGTTGGAGATGTGCCCTTTCCTTGTGGGGTCTGGCATTTTGAGACTTTTCCTTTAAACCCTCAATGCCCAGGCCCCATACATACCTGTTCCTATATGTCCGACACACATTACAGACTCCACAGATCTCCATAGCAGTTAGGGAAAGTCAAGACATGTATTATAAATAGCTATGAAAAGAACAGAAAATAAGATGTCAATGCAGTTTAGAAGTAGCTTGACACTGTACAAGATAAAACCCTTTATCCCAAGTGAGAGAAGCCCAACTCATTAATTAATTAATTAATTCAATAAATATGTAATGCATTTCTATTATGTGCCAGGTATTTTCAGGCGCTGGGGATCTGGTAGTGAATTCTATACGTGGATGCCGCTCTCACTGTGCGGGATACAGAGAAGGGCTGGCAGTAGCCAATGGCAGTAACTCCAGTCCTTAGTACGGTGGACAGCCTGCAAAAACTCTTCGCGGTGATTTTGAGCTGAGATCTGAATTTTAAGAAGCCAAATGTGGTAGATTTGCGGAAAGAGCATCCTAGGCCGCAGAAAGTGTGAGAGGCTCGAGGAGTCAGTGAGCCGTGGTATACCTGAGTGGTGTCCACACCCTTGTTTAGGCCCCAGCCGTATTGAACGGCACTGACCCCCATTGCAATTAGGTTCTGTAGAGTAAGTGTATATCACATCACAGGTTTGGTAATTCCTCGAAAGTGTTGCGACTTCTGCCTGATTCACCCTTTCTGGCAAAGTCAGGTAACCCAAGCAACAATTAGGACAGTGACCTGAGATCCACTGCCTTCAAGCTAAGTGAATCTGAACATAAGCAGAGATTCTGAACACAAACACCTTTGCCTAGGACATATTCTTCAAGACCCTTCAAACATTAATTGATACATAACCCTTATTACGTGAAGAGGGAATCGTTGTTTCTATGACTGTGATCATGTTTTACTGTGGAATCAATAACTTCCCAAGGTGTGGACCAAGTTTTAAGGTAGCAGTGTGAGAGCTGAGGAGACGCCTAAGAGTGCGGGCTGCCCTTGCAGATGACTTGAGTTTGGTTCCCAGCACCCATAGCACACGGCTCAGAACTCCTGTAACTCCAGCTCTAGGGGATCCAACACCTTCTTCTGACCTTTGCAGGTACCCAAATACGTGTTCAAACACACACACACACACACACACACACACACACACACACACACACACACATGCACACATGCACACATACACATACACACAATTAAAAAATCTTTAAAAAATAATAATTTGAAGGAATAATCTACAACAGTATAACCAGAGCCACCAGAATAAGTTCACTAGTCATATAAGCTCCAGCATTTCAAGTCCGTACGTTAAGTATCTGTTGTGCATAGTTTGGTGATGGAAACCGTACGGATTTGTTCTCATGTGCCACGCCCTTTGGATGAGGGTCTGGCAGTCTTTCATGGGACATTCTGGCTCAGGGTCGTCAAGGTTATTGGCCTATAGCAGCTGAGAGAAAATGAGACATGAGGCAGATCTCTGTGAGTTCAAAGTCAGCCAGGACTGCATAGTGAGACCCCTCGTCAAAGAAAGAGAGGAGGAAAACCAGAAATGGGGCTGTGGCCTTCCCTGTATTTGTACCATTGAGTGAATCACCCAAGGTCTCAGGAGGTCAATCACCATGGACTTAAGGGCACCCACAAGCACCCAGGAAGCGACCTATGTGCATAGTGGGTGTTGGGGTAAGAAGAGACATCGATCAATATGGCTGACTCCAGTCTGTATAAGCATCACATTAGTAGAATACTCCTTCCAGAGGATTGTAGAGCATCGCTGGTGACTCTCAGACACATCTTCTACCAAGCAGGATTTCACACCACATTTTCCTTCTGTTCCAGGGATTTCTGGTGGCCTTGCAGTATGGCTTTGCCAATGGAGAGGTATGTTTCCCACAGTGCTATCCCAGCTCCTGGTGTGGTGGAGGCTGTAATTCTAAACTCCCTAGGCGCTTCCGTTTGTGTGATCGCACACCTGTCCCTAGCATGTGTTGGTACAAATTTTTGTTGTGAGCATCCACTAGAGAGAATAGGAGGCAGCTTAGACTCACGGGGTGGTGTGCAAAGCTCGGGAACTCAGCCCTCGGTCTGTTTGGGACATGGAAGGGTTAACATGTGGTGAAAGACACAAGCTTGGATTCCAGGGTCTAAAAGATCCACACCTAAACATGGACTGAGCACTTAGAAGATTTGCGGCTTAGTCATTTGACTTCAATTTTCTCATCTGTTAAATGTGAATAACAGTTGGCCCTGTTTAGTGGCGCCCTGGGCACACTCAGCACTGGGCAAACACTGAACATCTGGGAGTGATGCTTTTTTATTTTTATGATTATTGTACTCTGTTTCCTCACTGTGTGCTAGTCCTAGCTGTCTGTTACTGTAACAAACACTCAAGATAATCAACTCACAAGGAAGGAAAGGTTTATTTGGCTCATGGATTCAGAGGTTTCAGTCAATGGTTGTTCGCCTGGCCTCCTTACCTTTCGGCCTGTGGTGACACCGTTCATAATGATGGGACCATATAGTGGAATGAGACGCACACCTCATGAATGAGGGAGGGACGGAAGGAGGGAAAGGGAGAGAGGGAGGGAGGAGGAGGAAGGAGAAAGGGGAGAGAGAGAGAGTGCTGAGAGAAAGCTCACATTCTGAGCCCCTCCCCCCCAGCAGTGACCTCACTTCCTTCCTTCCTTCCCTTAGGCCTCACATCTTAAGTTTCTACCATCTCCCAGTTGGCCCAAGGGCTGGAGACTAAGCCTTCAATGCAGGAGTCTTATCCAAACTATCACACCTGGGGAAAGGCTTAAAGGGGTGAGAAGCAGAGGCCAGGATGCAGTCATTTCCCGCTGCCCTCCATCTTTTCCACTTCCTCTTCCGGTAGAATGTAACCATCTCAGCAGCAAACCCCACTTCTACTTTGCCTGCTGCTGTTTCTGTGTCTCCACATGGGAGCCCCTTGCCCATCAGGCAGGGTCCAGCTGAAAAGCCATTATGCAAAGCCCCCACCTGAACACTGTTACCTCGAACTTCCCGTGTCCCATCAAAAGTCAGAAAGGAAAACAATGGTGGAAGATTTTAACTGGCCTTCTGTGAGTCCAGAGCCAGGCAGTGTTCCATTCTATAAAATGAAACATTCCAATAAGCAGGGCAGAAGGGGGTTGTTTTAATAATAGGAAAGGAATAAGGGAAGCAGAAATTAAGAACAAAAATGAATGTTTCAAAGTGATTTTTTTTTTCTTGGAAGACGATGTTCTGGTTAGGGTTTCTGTTGCTACGATGAAACACTGTGATCAAAAAAGCAAGCTGGGGAGGAAAGGGTTTGTTTGGCTTACACTTCCACAGAAAATCAGGACAGGAACTCAAACAGGGAAGGAACCTGGAGGCAGAAGCTGATGCAGAGGCCATGGAGGGATGCTGCTTACTGACTTGCTCCCCATGGGTTGTTTGGCTTGCTTTCTTACAGCCACTTACATGGTCTCTAGGCTCTTCCCCATCAATCATTAATTAAGAAAATGCCCTACAAGCTGGCTTATAGCCTGATCTTATGGAGCCATTTTCTTAAATTGAAGTTCCAGATGAGTTTAACTTGTGTCAAGTTGATATAAAACTATCCAACACAGACAGCCACATGCATTTATGTGGAGAAGTACCCAAAGAACATGAGATTACTCCAGGTAAACCTTTTTGTAGACAGGTTAAAGCAGAGGGACCTTTGTTACTATACCAGATGAAACTGACCTTTTGGGGGAAACTTGGCTGGTAACTCTTTTAGTTTATTTTGGTAGAATAGAAACTTAGCATGGGTGGCTCCATTTTGATTTTCAGCACAGGAACTTAGAGCTGGACCATGACCTTCTATAGTACTCATTACTAGCCTTTACCACATTCTCTAGGGCTTCTGGCTTATAGTATCTTCGGCATCTGTGCCTGTGTATCTTTCTTGTCTTTGTTCTGCTCCACCTGTGAAAGCCAAAGGTAGCCCCAAGGTAGCCGCCAGTAGCCGTGTAACCAATACCTGCTGAATGGACATGCGATCAGGGACACCAAGATAATCACCCCACCTTTGTCTCACCCGGCAGGTGAAGGCCGAGCTGCGCAAGTTCTGGGGCCGCTTCTTGCTAGCTCGCCGCCACTGTGGCTGCAGAGCCTGTGTGCTGGGGAAGAACTTCCGGTTCCTGGGGCAATGTCCCAAGAAGCTGTCAGAGGGAGATAGTGCTGAGACACTTCGGAAGCTCCAGTCCTCAACCTGCAGTTCACACTTGGCCTCTGAGACCCTGGGGGAGCTGGGGGCTAGGCCCATGCCGGGCCGTAGAGCTTGGCCCCGGGGAAGCAGCCTGTCTGAGAGCAGTGAGGGGGACTTCACCCTGGCCAATACCATGGAGGAGATTCTGGAAGAGAGTGAGATGTAAGGCAGGGTCCATCGCCCCAGCTCTGCAACTGGGGACTCCCGAGAGACCCGGATGTTGCTGAGCCAGGGGATCTTCCTCCTGCCCACTATGCCCATTCTGATGTGAAGTCTCTCCTGGGTCATCAAGCTCCATATAAATGAGCATGTGTAATGCCCACAGCTCTTCCAGTCCTGGTCACCCTACTGGCTCCCTTGCCAGGTGTATTTCCTAGAATGTCCACTGGTCTCTGTGGCCTTGCCCTAAACTCAAGTGAATGGAACCTGCTATGAAGAGAAATTACTTATTAAATAGGGTCCAGCTAGTGTCTCCTTCCCCCTCATGGTACATGGATGGCTGCCTCCCGGGTGTAGGGTGCACTGGGACCCTACAGAAAAGTTTAAAGTGTCAAGGCCTGGGATCATGGCCAACACTCTGAGAGAACAAGTCTGAGGTGATGACTAAGAATTGGAAGCATTTACCAAGCATCTGAGGAAATTCTGGAAGGTTCTCCCTTGGCAAACCCTGGGCAGGATGGATGGAGTAGCTAATCATGCACTTGCTCCTCACTGGGGACATACCGCGCTCCTCAGACCGGGTGTGACCCCATGTTGTTCCCGAGACCTCTCTCCTCCCTGTTTCTCCTCTCTTTCTCACCTGTCAAACTTTGCCCCCTTTCTCCATCTCACATTCTATTGGGGTTAACAGGAGATTGAATGTCACAGTACTGCGTGTTAGTGTCTGTCCTTGTTGCTGCGGACAAATACCTGACAAGTAGCAGTTTCAGGGGGGAAGTGCTGTATGGGCTCCTGGTTTGAGAGTGTGGTCCATCAAGGTGAGGAAGGCACAGTGGGAAGAGGGGTTCTTGTGGAGCTGAGATGGCTCGTCAGGCGGCTAGTCACTGTCTCGTCAGCATGCTGGTTGCTTTCTGTCAACATGACCCAAACCAAGACATCTCCGGGAAGAGGGACTCTTAACTGAGGGCTACCCTCCGTCATATTGTTCCATAGGTAGATCTGTGGGAGCATTTTCTTGATTAATGATTGATATGGGAGAGCCCAACCCACTGTTGGTGGTGCCGCCCTAGGTCCTGGGTTATATAAGAAAGCAGGGTGAGTGAGCCATGAGGAGCAAGCCAGTAAGCTTCACTCCTCCATAGTTCCTGCCTCTGGGCTTCACTTAGTGCTGTGTGCATGTGGAAATGTAAGCCAAATAAACCCTTCTCTCCTCAAGCTGTTTATGGTCATGATGTTGATCATGGCAAAATAAAGCATATTAGGACAGAAATTGGTACCAGAGAGAACGTTACTGCTGTGACAGACCTGACCGTGTTGTTTGGAAAAGGACGGTAGACATGTCTGGGACTTCAGGCTGGAATAGCTACCGAGCCCTCAAAGGGTGATGGGTGTTACTGTGAGAGCCGGACAGTTGGAGTGTTGAGGGAAGCCCAGACGATGAAGGCCTGGCTTCTGAATCTTCAGAAGGAAGCAAAGACTCTTCCAGGGTTGTCTGAGCTGTTTTGAATTGAGCCTGTAGTTTCTGGTCAGCTGAGGCTGAAGAATCCACTTAGTAAGATACTGGCATCATTGAGGCAAAGTCTTCTGATCCAGGTGGTGTTCCTTGGATCAGAAGCTGTGATCTGGCAGGAAGATGACCAAGCTGTACATCAGGCTGGCAACAAAACTGGGCGAGTCAGAAGTCAGGCACCACGAAAGAGAGATGCTGGTGGTCTCGCGCCTCGGCTGTCTCATTCAGCTGGGGGGATGGTGCTTCCCACGTTCAGGCTCTCCCCTCCTCAGTTAAGCCTCTCTGGAGATGTCCTAAGGCACAGTGAAGAGTGTGTCTCCCAGGCGATCCTAAGTCCAGGCAGCTGGCAGTGGAGATCCATCATCACGCTGTCCTTCCTTCGGCCTCCGCTGCCGGGAGCCTTCTGAATGTCACCATTGGTTCTGTCCTCTTCTTCCCGGTTCCTCCTGCCCTCTGAACTCAGTTTCTACCAGCCCACTTGTTCTATCCCTCAGGGATAGGAATGCCCTTCTTGGTTCACCATTGATCGATCCTCTGACAGTTGGGCTTCCTGCTGCAGGAGGCTGATCCGCTCCTTTCCTGACTCAAGTCCCATGGACAAGAATTCTTCATCCCAGACAGGTGCTAAAAGCCAGGTGAGCAGAAAGGACTCTGGCTGGGTGTGGACTTGCTGAAGGTAATCAAGAAGCCCTGGACCCTACACCAGTCAGACTTATTGGACTTTCACGCCCAGTGGGAAGTCAGCTGCATTCGACCTGATCCACGGAGGATGAGGAGGGTCAGACAGCCAAGGTTAGGGTCAGTTACAGAAACCACAAGACAAGAGCTTGCAGGATGACTGAGGGGGGAACTGATTGTAGGAACATTGTGCAGATGGCAAGGAGTGCCGCTTTTAGTGGGCAAAGTGTATGTGTCCATGGTAGGGTATGTGTCCATGGTGGGGTATGTTGCCTGGGCTGGGTATGTATTCATGGTGGAGTATGTGTCCATGGTGGGGTATGTGTCCATGGTGGGGTATGCTGCCCTAGACAGGAACACTACCTTGATACTTCTCAAGCAGGGCTGCTGGGCTCAGCAAATGAAACTTATGATATTCCATTATATGTGAACTTCAGAACGTATCCATGGATAATCCCTTTATATAAGTTTATCCCATAATAGACTGAAATTCGAGTCTAATTATGCATCGTGTCTTACCTGGCTACTCTCCTTATTACAAGGAGATGTGAAGACAAGGCCAGGACTAGGTGAGCCACCCAAGGCGGCTGGTTGCCAGAACAAGAGTGAACCACTTAAGGTGGTGAGTTGCCTATGAAGAAACATCAAACCCACTCACTATAGTCTGTAGGTCACTTGTAAAGATGAAGTTTATCAGCATCAGGGCAGGGGTGAGAGTGCAGTGGATGAAGCCCCAGGATGCTGTCATAGGTTCTAACCAGGACCTCGTCTACAATGCTGATAATATGTTCATTTTATCAATACTTTTGGTGTTGAGTGGTTGCATTAAAATACTATTTATCTTGACTGTGGAGCTTTTTTGGTGTCCCCTTACCTTTTATGCCATCTCCAGCCCTGGTTTGCAAGGCAGGAACAGAAGCAAAGTGCATAATGAAGCAAGGGTTTTTGGTATCTAGATTTCCAGAATTCATGTTCAAATACATATCCTATTTCTTTTTCTTTTCTGCAAATGCTCTTCCTTTCCCTGCCATTGGGCAGGCGGCTCCAAGAATGCTGGGGACATCTTCCTTTCCAAGCATGTGCCCAGCCCAGGACTGATGTGGAAAAGTGACTCCAGACACACTGGCTGAGAGGGGGTTAAAGCGCCCCCGGGGAGCATCAGGTGTTGCCTAGAGCAGGCTGTCTGAGATCTTTGCAGGAATATGCAAAGGGAAACACCCCAGCTTCGGGATGTGTTCAGGTCAGTGAAGGGTCAGAACATCCATATAGTTCCCAGACTTCATTTTGGAACTTGAGGCTGGAGAATCAATAGGCTTTCTACACAATGACTCTGTGGCCTTAGGGAAGCCATGTGAGGCATTCTTAGGTGTCCCCAGCCCTGGAACTTCAAGAAAGTCATGTATACTAGTACATGTCCCTGGCTTAGTCTCTTCTTCTCAGCCGACTGACCTTGGACAAGCTGCTTCTATGACTTTTTGACTTCTATTTTCTTGTGCCCAACACGATGGCCTTGCAGGTGAGGGGCATTCATGGCTCATTCTTCACACTATTCACCAAACCAAGCAGGCCTGCTCTTCATCCCCTAAAGTCAGTACCACTCTCGGCACTGCTGCTTAGCCAGCCATAGGCCCCATTGCCATCTTTGCTCCTCTCCTTTCTCATGTGTCAGTCATAGGATGCTACCCTCTGAAGCTGTCCTTTTGTCCCTCCTCCACTCATGAACCCTGGCCACCACTGTCACCTCTTGGTCCCTAGTATTTCCCATGGATTATATCCACCCTGCTAGTAGCTTACTCATAAAATAGACATTTACTACTTTGCTGGCATAGTGGCAAAGGCTGCAGGGTGCCTTTTCGGATCCCGGTTCTCTAGAGACTCCCTTTCCTGCATCCATGACTGTTATCAGTCATTCTGACTGAGGGGCAAGCTTTCCCTCTTCTTCTCATCTTCCCCTATAGTCTGCCGTGAAAAAGTCTGAACGTATCACTTCACTGGAAATACCTTCTCTGGTCATTACTGATAAGCCAGCCCCTCTGTGTTATGTATTCCCTTACTACTCTGCATGTCACCATGGCAACCTTGGTCCTGGCATCAAGCTCCATCAGCCTGGTGGAGAGGCTCATGCATGTAATGCTAGCTCATAGAAGGTTTAAACAGGTGGATTGTCCTGAGTTCAAGAACAGCTTAGGTTCCAGAGTGAGGCTTCATCTTGAAAAACCTAACCAAAAGAAACAAGATCCAACACCTTCCCTCTGGACCTTTAGCGCTCAGGAGAGAACAAGTCAGGGCCACATGTACCTCCTTCAGCACCCTAGTGGCCTAGAGTTACAATCACATCGAACCCTCAAGCTGCCAGGGAGCATTTCCTTTTCCAGGTGGAGAATGACCAGCCAGCGGTGTGCCCAGTCCTTTTGCGTTTATTGGAACCTGCTTACCCAGCAATCCCCAAAGGAGCTTAAGCAGGGCTGACGTTTGGAACTTCTATGACCTAAGCCTGGGATTATCACAAGGCTACCTGAGCAGGGGAAGGAGACAGGTAGGGTGTGAAGGGAGGGTCACCGAAGACAAAAGGAAGCTGTGTCCTGCTAAGGACTTTCAGTTGGCAAGGAGAGGTTTGGTTCCCCACCTCTCCAGGCCCACGGTGTGTGTGTGTGTGTGCGTGTGTGTGTGTGCGCGTAGGCACAGCATGCTCATGCTGACGTATGAGCATGCTCACACTGTGGGTGTTCCTGTGAGGGGCGGAGGAGGAGATGAGCAGTTCCCATCACTGACTCTTTTCCTTTATCCTCTCCTTCACTTTTTGCGGTTCAAACTGGATCAGTCGTAGAATTTCCTTATTGGCCAGGGTGCCCTCGATGAACTCCTTCTCTGTAAGTCTGTCTGCATGGTAGAGAAGCAGCAGTCAGTACCAGCTGTCTCAAGCTGCAAAAGGTGAGACCCAGCCTCCACGGACCTAGTAAAACTGTGTGAAAATATGGAATGCTCAGCACTCCCAGGGACCCCCCGCTACTCTCCCAGATATCACCCCTCCTTCAAGACTCTTGAACCCCCTCCTCAAATCAGCCCAAGACAACCAAATACTGGCATCATAGAGATCTCCCAGAACCTATTCCTTTACTCTGCTCCTTCCGCTTGGGCAGGGCTCTTGCCTTGCTGGTTATTACACATTCACATCATCAATGATTATAAATACTTCTTTCCATAAGTTTTCAAAATTACCCTACAGCTCTAGCCTAAAGTTCTAAGGGCAATTCTAGGAGACTGAGAGAGGCAGGCCAAATCTCAATGCAGGAGCAGGAACTATGCCCTCAAGGGAATACTGAGTGAGATGTCAGGGGACAGTGGCATGCCAAGGATATCCTGTGTGCCCAGAATACCCAGAAAACCTTGTGACACCAGGTGACACATCCTCTGTGACTGCCTCCCCTGCCTGCACTTCTTCCTCCCTCAATCTCTTCTACCTCATTTGAGATGAGAATGAAGAGAGAGACTTTGCCTCCAGTTAGCCTGGCTTCCGTGTGTGCATGTATGTGTATGTCTGCGCACATACATGTGTGTGTATGTGTACATGCACGCGTGTGTGTGTGTGTAGGCTCTGTCCAGTCATATGCATGCCACTGCACCCTTCCTCTGTGTGTTTCATGTTACTGTTCTTGGGGTTACAACCATCTCAGAGAGTGGGGTGTAGCAGAAAAGAATGAGACAAAGCTCATTCTTAGGGGGTCTGGCATGAAGAAATTCCCATTGTAGAAAGAAGTCTAGGATGAGACAGATTCTTCCTGTCCATGGTCCCTCTCATGGTCCTCAGCACAGTGTGGACACAGTACCGCAGAGCTGGATTTGACTTCATTGGCTTATACTCTTGGCCTCTGGACATCCTTAGTTCTTATTGGGGTTGGGATCCAGGGTACTTCTCTGCCTACGTCTGGGTGGTGAAATTTGGATTTCAAAGGTCTAACTGCCTGTCCAGCCTCACTCCAAGCTTGAAAGTCCCACCTCTGGAGCCTGCTGCTACCGTAACAATGCTGTCTTTCAGAGGAGGCATGTTACACACACACACACACACACACACACACACACACACACACACACACAGGAGTAACAGCCAGCCTTCTAACACCAGCCTCTCCTGCGGGGCAGTTTTCAGATTAGCAAAAATCGGAGAGGACCCCTGACACTTGGACAGACCCAGAGGGAAGGAAGAGGATTCGTAACGTAAGTGCTACAGGAAGTCATCTAACACAGCCAGAATCCATGCCAGCCAAGTGCTCAGGGAACAAGCGCCGATGGGACTGGGTGTGGGGTGGAGCCAGGGCAGTGCCTAGGCCCAACCTTTGAGGAGTTATTCACTTCAGGGGAACCAAGGACATGGCTGCCACTTGAGAGTGAGCACCTCTATGAATTGTGCACTCCACTGAGAGCCTGCTTGCCTCAGCCTGGCTCCCACCGTCTTCCCGTTCTGTTAGCATTTGACTGTGGAGTAGAGATGGATCGTTTTCACCTTTGCTTTCTATCCTGAGGAGTTGCTGCTTTAGTACTGGTGAGAGTGTGCTCAGGGGACACACAAGGGTCTAGCTCTGCCCACTCCGATGTGCTTGAGCCATGCTTTACGGAGACCCTTTAGCTTTTAAACAATGCAGATGCTGACATTTCTTAAAAAATAAAACAGTTATATGATATGGGAACAATAAGCTCCATATTTCCCTAGGGAAAATGCAAGAACTTTTCAAGGTTGTTTACCGGTTCCTCTCTCTCAGTTGGGGCTACCATCCTCTCTCTCTCTCTCTCTCTCTCTCTCTCTCTCTCTCTCTCTCTCTCTCTTTGTGTGTGTGTGTGTGTGTGTGTGTGTGTGTGCATGTGTGTATGATGATATCAGTTCTTGTATCTTGTACTATAGCCTTCCCATAACAGTTGGGTGTGTCATGGACCAACAGCTCCAGCTGCCACACTCTGGAATTCATTCCTCTTTCAAAACTCCAAAGGCTGCTCCCAGCCAGCCACTAAGCAGAGCAGAGATGCCAAGAGGTCAAGTGAGGACACCCCAATGACTTTGCCAGCTCTGTCTTAGAGTGCTTAGGTCTTTCTTCCCTGTCCTTCCTCCCTGTCCTTTATCCCTGTACTGATTCCCAGGTTGGGGCCAGATCCTCATGACATGGGCTTTTCCAGTCCCTAGGTTCCTCCCCACTTTCCTTTGGTGGCTGTTTTCTCAATAAATTCCTGACTGTGTAATTGAATCTAACCCTCTCATAGTGGGGTTTTGGGGTCACGGAAACTAACTTTCTAATGAGTCCCGAGTCTCTGCTGGGTGAGGTGCTCTCGTTGTGCAGGGAACATCCGGACAGCAAGCAGCCCGAAGATAGAAGAGGCTGCCTTTCCCTGAACTTCCTGTTGTATACACACGGCCACCGAGCCTGCACACTTTACATTAGTTCTACATTAAAGGACTGCCAAAACTGACACCCCAAAACTCATGAAGCTGGAGCAGAAGGACCACTAGTTTGCTGCCAACCTGGGATATAGTGTTTTCTTTCCTTCCCCCACATCCCAAGCAGTGAGTGAGTTCTGTGGGTAATAGGGATGTGTTGGTCCCCAACCCCACCCGCCATCACCAGCATCAGCTGGAGGGTAGGAGCAGACCTAACCACAGCAGATGCTTCTGGTCAACCACTATTTATGACTTAGTAGACAGTTTAGATAGTTTGGTGACAAGAAGCATTCCCCAGTCCTGCCTGGGCACCATGACTCAGAAGCGGGAATCTTGCTGGGGTCTCCAGGAGACGGTAGGCACTGTAAAGGCAGAGGTAACAAAGACAAAGGAATTCACCATCATCTTTCTTTCCAAAGAATGCCCAGATCTTCTCAGCCCGCTTTTCTGGGGTGTTTTCATCATCTGGAAGGTGTTTCACGTCCTCAGGCTTGATCATTTTGAAAATAGCCTGTAGCAGACCGAGAAAAGGATCTCGTCACAAGGAGTGGTAAGGGCTCGGTGGTCCTGAGAAATCCGTGTCTCACATCACACACAAATGTCTACCAGTGATGGACTGAAGACTTAACTTTCTAGTCCAAATTATATAATTCCTAAAGAGCGCTAAGCTTCGTGACATTGGTTGTGATAATAATTTTTGAATTTTTGGTATTATCTCAAAACTTAAGAAACTTCTACAAGCTAAAGAGACAACAAAATAAGATAACCTTGGGGTAGGAGAAAATATTTACAAACCTTTGATAAGGATTACTTTGATATGGGATTAGTATAGAACATATATGAAGAACACCTACAACTCAATGCTAAAACAGAAAGTGTCATTGAGAGTGGTGGCACACACATCTAATCCTAACACTTGAGAGAAAGAGGCCAGCCTGGTGTACACAGGGAGCTCCAGGCTGGCCGGAACTGCATAGTGAGGTTTTGTCTCCAACAAACAATTAAAAACAAGACCAACCACACATAAAAGCAAACAACACAAAAAATAACTGAATTAAACACAGACATTTCCTTAAAAAACATAATGATAGGAATGGTTAAAAGGTATGTGAAGAGGTGATCAACTTCATTAATTATTAGGTAAATGGAAATCAAAAACCATCCTTCCACCTGTTGGGGACCGCCACTCTGGCAAAAGCTTGCCTCAATTGTGTCTCTTGTCAGTAGGGCTGGGGACACGGCTCAGTGGTACAGCTCTAGCCTGCAGGAGGCCCAGGGTTTGTCCTGAGCACGCAAGAATAAACACTGCCACCTCAAACCCAAAGACAAGGGGCAGGTGTAGAGAGAATGTGGAGAAAAGGAAGCCCCAGTCGTTATTTGGGCCACCACATCATGATTTTCTTGATACCCCCAAAGCCCGCAGCATCCAAGCCAAGAGGCTTGCAGTCCAGGTGCCTACCAAAGCCCCACAGGTTCTACTGCCTCAAAATGCCCGGGGGCAGTGCCCAGGCACCGCCAGCACCTGGAGACCTTTGTAAGGGCTCCTTACAAAGACTATGGAGGAGAAGCTGCTCTTTCATGCACCCGTTACATTTTCTGAGCAGGCCTCATAGTCTTGTTGAGAAAGGAAAGAAATAGAAATTTCCCAACAATAATCCCACCACAGCAGCCCCGAGGTTGGAGTTTGAGGACCACTAGCTCAGACCTTGCCTCCCACAGGCTTGAGAGAATCAAAGGTGTCTTCTGGGTCTGTGAGGTGTCCCAGCTCTATAGCCTGACTGGCGTATGACCATGCAGGCTAACATCTATCGAACACTTACATTTTTTTCCATAACAGTTTTAGATTAGTTCTCCAGAGAACCTTACAGGGAGGATATTGTTGGTCCCATGTTACAGGCAACGAACAAACCTGGAAACATCAAACTTGCCCAAAGTGACCCACGACAGCAGAGATTCTAACACTGGCAACTTGGTTCCAGAACCTACATTCTGGAGTATACCTGAGTTTTCTTATTCATTTCTGAAGATTATAGACTAGACAGGGGAGGGGGGAGTTGTGAACAAGACTTGCAGAGGTTTGCTCCAGGATGCAGAAATCCCCTTAGGAGTAGCTCGGGGAGGAATCTAGAGAAAGGCTGGGTGTTGGCCCTTAGCCCCTTCTCTCTCCTAGCGAGGACAAAGCCAGAAGTGCTCCTGACCTATATGAGATCAGAGAAGTAGACAAGGTGGTCTCTATTTATCCTTCCGAGACCAGGCTTCCAGGAGTCTACCGGCTCAGCAGTTCCAGGTTCAGCCAAGCATAAAGAGGACAGCCTAGATCCTCAGGTGTGAGGCTGGCTCAGGCTGCGGGTAGGTACTTTGACACGAGGGCGCGGGCAGCTGCCGTCTATGACCAAAGCCCCTGCCTCCCTGGAGACTCAAGGACACTACAGAAGCGTAGCAGTGTCTGTGAAATTAGCCTGGGCTTTAGGAAAGTTAACATCCACACGAATGCCCTTGTTCACTGGTGCTAGGACAAGAAGGACGCTATACCCTGGTAGTTCAGGGAACAGGCTTTGTAGGTAGCCCGAAATGAACTTAAGTACAGATGACCCCCAGATCTGATTCCTCTCTCCTGATCTACCTGCCCTAGGTCCAGGCATGGTGGCTAAACACTGGCTGTGACTGGCTGTCTGTGCCACCTCTCCTCCAGCATTGGACTGGTTGGTGGTGGAGTGGGAGGGAGTCAAGCCTTCAAGGTTCTGGGAAAGGCCATAGAAAGCATCAAAGCCTCGTCCTGGACCCGGGGAGGTTACATGTCTTTCCCACGGTTGCATGATGAGTTGGTGTCAGAGCTGGGACAGGAACTCATCACTTCTGACTTCCAGACCGTGCTTTCACAATGGCCTGGTGACCCGGTGGCTAGCAAGGCAAGCTTGCACACTGCTCAGCCTCGGTTTCTCCTCTCCACCTCGTTTCTCTGCTCCTTTCCCTCCTCTTCTTCTAGAAGAGCATCAACCTAGCACCTTTAGGTGGCTTTGAATTGGTCCCCATCCCGTGTCACCCAGGGACGCCAACACTAACCCAGAGGAGGTTGCTCTGCATGCTTTGCCCCACGGACAGTGAGAGCACCCCTTGTCACCCCGATTCCAGAGATGACCCAGTCTGCCCCAGCTACAGGCTTTGCTGCTGTGTCTGTGGTTTGTCCTAACAAGGGAGGGGGGAGAATTCTGCAAGTAAAAGCGTGATTACAAACACACCAAACACTGCACAAAATATGAAGAATATTGTAACTTCTAACAGGAAAGGAATTTGAGAAATACAGCAAGTGACAGGGATGGGAGGGTTTAGGAGGAAAAACAGAAGTCGAAGAAAGAACTTAAGTGGTATAACATAGAGAAAATTGAAGTTCTCTGATGTCTACATTTATAAGAATGTTTGACGTTCCATAGGGTGGAATGTCAATTGAATGACATTTCCGTAGGGTGAATATCTAAGTAGTTCTTAGCGTATTTTTAAGTTGGTGTGGTTACATCTGTCGCATCCCAGCTACAGTGGGGACCGAGGCAAGAAGGCTGGGAACCCGAGGACAGCTGAATGGCAAAAGGGAGACTCCCACGAAAAAAGTTTCTGAAAAATTTGTGATGATATAGAAAATATTCACGATTAAAGAGTAACAGAAAAAGCGTGGGAGAAATCGCATGTAAATATGTTAGGAATCCAGAATTGTCTTAAAGCAGATAAAGCCCTGGCAAGTCGTGTAGCAATGAGCTGACAGTTAGTACATCGGTGATAGATCTTAGTCTGCAAGATTACTTTTGCATCATTTCTAAATTTCACAGACTGCTTATATAGTAGACAAAAATAGAATATCTTGTGAGACACCAAAAAAAAAAAAAAAGAAAAAAAAAACTTAGAACAAATTGTAGGCAGAAGGGAGAGGAGAGAGAGGGGGTGGGAACCTTGAGGATTCCTGCGTAGGTCCACCACACCAGGATTAGGAAGAGAACCAATCAGGACCCAGATTCCATGTCCACAGTGGTCAATGCTTTGTAATTGAAACATATATGTTTCTGCTTTACTGTTGTAGAACCCGAATGTGTGTTGCTAGAAAAAAAAAACCTGAAGACTTAATGGAAAAGGGGAAAACGTGTGAGAGGGGAAAGGAGGAAGAGAAGAGAGCAAGAGGAAAGGGGAAGGGAGGAGTGAGAAGGGGGTATGAGGGAAGAGGAAGGAAGAAAGGAAAATTTACACTGTATTGATTAGGAAACATCAAGATTGTTCTTGGGGAAGCAGATATGCTGTGGGGGTGCCCTCTATTTCTCCTCAGTACTTTGGAGACCCTTCCTTTCCCCCTCTCCTGACCCGGCCCCCACTCCACTGGGCTACACAGCGTCTGTGGCTTCCACCCCGTGGCCTCCTCCCCATCCCACACAGGCAGCAGGATCGGAGACACACTGACCATGACGATCTCCAACACCTCGTTCTTGCTGATGGCACCATTGCCATCTACGTCGTAGAGGGAGAAGGCCCACTCGAGCTTCTGCGTGGGCTTGCCCGCTGTGGTCATGTGCAGGGCGATCACGTACTCCTTGAAGTCCAGCGTACCGTCGCTGTTGGCATCGAAGCTACGGAACACGTGCTGCGCGTAGGCCTTGGGGTCGGAGTCCGGGAAGAACTTGGAATAGATGCTTTCAAACTCCTGCCTGGTGATGCGGCCGCTCGGACACTCCTTCAGGAAGGACTGGTACCAGGCGCTCAGCTCCTCCTCGGTGAACTTGGTGTTCAATTGCAACTCCTCCAGGATCTCCTTGGACAGAGCCCCGCTCTTGCTGTTCCCCATGGTGAGGGAGAGTGGGCTCTGTGAGGGCAGGAAGGACTAGTGAGGCCGCCTGTGTGCAGCTGTGGGGTGGAGACCCAGGTGCTGACGGATTAGGGGGGATTTGCAGGCAGTTCCTCCCAGCCCTTGGAGGGAGGAGGGGCACAGAACCCTCCAGAGATTAAAATAAAGAGCTGAGAGTAGTCGCTCAACTCCTCTGTGCCTGCCGAGAAGAAAGGACCCGAGGGGGACCCTTGAAGCAAGCACCCTCCTGCATTCAAGTCCAGTTTGAGTTCACTTCCCCAGGGGGCACCCATAGGACCTTATAACGCAAGGGGTTAGGGGCTCAGGGTTTGAGGCAGCTAGGTTTAATTCCCAGCTCTGCCCCTTAGCCTTTCTCTGCATGGGATGTCTTTCTAATCCTTCCCTCAGCCACCTTTTCAGCAAAGCCTTTTATCCAGCACTCTACCATGGAACCCTCCCGCAAGCCCATGGTTAACCCCAAACTGTCTGCCAGAATGGAAGCTCCTAGAAAGTCGTGGGAAGGACTGTGTTCCTATCGTTTGTTGTCCCCATTGCCAGAACAGTGACAGAATAGCTCAAACTGATGGGCAGAAGTGCTGAACACACGCACACACACAGGCACACACACACACACACACACACACGGCCTCCAGACTCACCATGAGCCCACTTAAATGGTTTGACTTTACAACAGTACAAAACACACCTCGGCATCTGTGGGAGGAGACTGCCCCAGAGGGTTAGTCTTGTCTAAGTGTCCTGAGCGGATTGGAGTGGACAGGCCCCAGTGACAGAGGTCAGTGGGTTCGGTGAACTATATGCACTTTTACTTACTGTATGTTCAACTAAAGATGGGCCATCGAGACCTGACCCCACAGTAAGTCAAGCACCATTGTTATTGTTCCTCAGTAACAAGGGCAATAAAATAGAACTGCCCAACAGGGGTAAGCAGGCAGACTGACTAAAACAGGCAGACTAGGCAGGTGGTACGGGAGAGAGGCCTGTCACATAGGCAAAGGAATGTGTCACTTGAGTGTAGGGTGTCATATCCTGTTGTCGTTGTTTTCATGTGCCATTCATGGCTGCCCCTCCCCCCACCCTCTTGCTATTTCCCATGACTACCTGCTGATGCTGGCCTTTAACCTGACCCTCTCTACAATGCAGACCCTGGCAAACCAAGATTTCTCTTTTCCAAGCATCCCCTACAAACTAACTATTACCATCTTTCCCTGCTTTCGTCAAGGAATTCCCTGCCTGTCTTCATCAGGGTTGCTACTGTTGTGATAAAATGCCAAGACGGGGAGGACAGGGTTCACGTGGCTTATGCTTTTATTGTGGTTCATCATCACTGAGGAAGCTGGGGCAGGAACCCAAACAGGGCAGGAACCTGGAGGTCGGAGCTGATGCAGAGCAATGGAGGAGTGCTGCTCACTGGCTTACTCCCCATGGCTTGCTCAGCCTACTTTCTTATAGAACCCAGGACCACCAGCACAGGGATGACCCCGCCCGTGATGGACTGAGCCCTCCCCCATTGATTACTAATTAAGAAAATGCCCTTGTGCACAGCCCAATCTTATTGAGACAGTTTCTGAGCCAAGGCTCCGCCCTCTCTGATGACTCTTGTGTCATGACTAGCGTGTGCCAAGTTGACATAAAAGTAGCCAGCGCACTGCTCTGCCTTATGGGATGGCTGCGTGATAAGATGCTTATTTTAGAAAACTCTTGTTTATCATAGAGGCCGGGATATAAGGCTGGTTGTGTGAAGCGAGGGCTTGGGGATGGGGCCCTCAACCCGTGGCATCCGATGCTTCCCTAGGTTCGCACTGTCAGAGCTGATTGCACGAGGGGACATCCAGCTGCTGTCCGCAGCACGATGACTGTCTCTCACAGGCGGGTAAAAGCCCCACACCCCCTGGGATCACAGGAACCAGTCCTGTGAATGGGTAAGGGGAAAATCTGAGTTGGAGTTGGGTTTTTCACTACAGCATCAGACTGAACTTTAAGGTCCTCAAAAGAAATGCTGAAATCATATTTTAAGGAAGTTTTGGTGTGTGTGTGTGTGTGTGTGTGCAGTATCTGAGCATGCCTGTGCATATGCGAGCCTATGCATGCACATGATGGCCAGAGGAGGGTGTCACGTGTCCTGTTCTATTACTTTTTGTCTTACTCCTCCAGATGGGGGTTCTTTTCTGGAAGTTAGAACTAGATTGATTTCCAGCGAGCCCAGCCTCTGCTCCCTCACAATATTGGGGGAACAGGCTCATGCACAACCACACCTGGTTTTCTCTGGGGAGTCTGAGTATTGAACTCACATCCTTATGATTGCATGGCAATTTCTTTAACCTCAGTGCACTCCCAAACACTGAAATCAACCTCAGGTCTTTCAAATACAATTTCTTAAAGCACTCATCTATATATGTTTGTATGTATGCATATATATACACACATACATATATACACACAAGAGTGTGTGTGTGTGTGTGTGTGTGTGTGTGTGTGTACATGGATGTGGCATGAATATGGAGGTCAGAGGACAATGTACAGGAGTGTTGATTCTCTACTTTTACCATGTGGATTACAGAGCTAGAACTTGAATTATGAGGCTTGGCTGCAAACCCCTTCATTCACTGAACCATCTCAATTTCAGCCAACAGGAGGTTTCTTTGCAGCCCAGCGTGGTACTGGGAAACACTAGAGGCTATTGCAAGCTTGCTAAGTAAATTATGGGCGAATCATCAGTCCAGGACAGGGAGTTACACACTGTAGTGGCTCAGGTATGAGCTCAGAACTCAAGGAAGGACCCTCATGGGCATTGCAGATCCAAATCCTTGCCACCAGAGGGAAGGTGGGCAGACCTCTTCACTTAGTTTGGGCAGGGGAGACTTCTGGAACCCCAGTGTTGCTATGTAAGATGAGGAGCAGGTGCTCAAGGCAGGAATTATGAAGAGCAGATCCCAGAAGTCTCCAGGCAGGTAAGTGAAATGTATGTACAGCCTGTTTGCTAACTGGCCATTGATGGAGAAAGCAGGTCTTCACTGCTGGCACCGTTGCCTGTCAGGTCTATTGGGAACCAGCTTTCTGTCATTGCAGCAAAGTACCCGAGACAGACAATGAAAACAGAAGCTACTCTTGGCTCTCAGTTTTTCTGGTTTCTGTCTGCAGTCAGCCATTGCTCTGTGGCAGCCTGTCCTAGTGGGCATGCTGGGTAGAGGAAGCTGCTTATCTCAAGGCAGACAGCAGGCACAAAGAGGAGGGCAGGAGGAGGCCAGGGTGTCAGTAGCCTTTCCAAAGGGGCTCCCCATACCTCATTCCCTTAGCCCAGGCTTCCTTAGTAAAGCTTCCACTGCTTCCCAACAGTGTGCTATGGGCTGAGGATGGGGCCTCTGGGAGCACAGTCAGCATCTAAAACATTACCCACCTTGGCACTGCTCAGGGAAGACCTAGGTCACACATCAAAGTGCTGGCTTATGCCCCTGCGCAGCCAACCAATGTGCTGCCAGAGGGTTTTTCAGGGGAGAGAGAGAGGGAGAGGGAGAGCGAGAGAGAGAGAAAGAGAGAGATCTTCCCACAATTTAGGAAAGGGAATGGCTTCTCTCCTGCATTCTCCCTGACCTTGCAGGAGGCTTTTGCTCTTGATCTCAAAGGGGCCAGTTACCTTGAAAACTCACTGGCCCCAGGCACAATCCTGGAAGCATCTGCGAATGCACACACGTGTACACGCACACCACTAATAATACATATATTTTAAAGTACCTTCATGGCGTCAGGCTGTCTTTAGGAAGCTGGCCTCTGAGGCAAGGCCACCAGGTCACAAGTTTAAAACAGTGGCTCCAAAGCCTGTTTCCGGCCATGGCTTCTACTGCTCCTGAGTGACAGCATCTGAAACTGCCCCAGATTTGCCAATTCTAAGCTGTGTGTATCACAACAGCTTGATTCCTCCCTCCTCTCTCCATTCCACTTACTCTCCGCTTGCTCTCTTGCTCTCAGAGAGGCTGACTTCAGTGGCCTGACTCTCTCTTTCCCTAGGTGAGGATCTGAGGTTGCCATGGCGATGGAAGAGCTGACAGTGAAGAGTCACAAATGACTTCCAACTGGGGTGGGAGGATCTCATGGAGACCTGGGCTTTTCTGTCCGGGAGGAAGCAGGTGGGATGCAGCTGGGTCTGGTCTCCAGTCTTCAGATTGCTGTGCCCTGGAGGGACCCCCTGCAGGAGGGGATCCCTGGAAGGACACCGGGGCAGCTGTGTTGATGCTGGTGAGAGTGAGGGGTCATGACCCAGAGGTTTGTTTGAAAACCTGCATAAACATCTTCTGTCAGAGGCCGCACTCGGGCTCCTTGGCCAAACAAGTTTGCTGGAGATGATGTATGGCGAACGGATTTGTTAAGTCTGAGCTGGGCCAGTAAACTTGCTCCCTGCTGCCCCGAAGAAAGACCAATGGGTGTCCTGCAAGGGAGAAGGCCGCTTGTGTCACTCCTTCGGGCCTTGCCTGGACCAAGCAGCCTGAGGTCCCTAGAGGCCACCTCTGCATCTCATCCTTAGGCAAAGCTCAGCGGTTTATGAGCTAGGATCCCCAGCCCTCAGCACTCTCCTCCAGGTCTCCTGCTCTGAGCTAAGGGGAACTTTGCCACTCCCTGGCCTGGAGTCTGGGCTTCATACAGTCTGTATTGGCAGGGGAAAGGAGAATGGAAGCAATGGGGGATTCAGCCTGGTCAGGGCTCTCAAACCCAGGCATCCTCAGTGTGGGAAACGGTTGCTTGTCCTTCCTGCCTGGACCCAGATTCTCAGAGTCACCTCAGAACTTCCCCACCTGATAAGATATTTGCTTTACTTCCAAAGAACACCCAGGTAGGCACGGACTGTCCTCCCAAACTTACCTGTGGCCAACACCCCCTGTGGACAGCGACATGCCATGAAGATGCCCCATCCTCTAGAGTGAACATCAAAGGTTTATAGCAGCTAGTGTCACTCTGGAGACCCTCCCTGCCCCATCCTGCTACCATTTCCCTGAGTGGGTTCTCCCAGCTTTCTCCTGTGCTCCAGCCGCACTGGTCTCAAATATGGCTTTCTCATGGTCTAAAACAGTGGTTCTCAACCTTCCAAATGCTACAGTTCTTTAATATAGTTCCTCATGTTTTGGTGACCCCCAGCCATAAAATTATTTCATTGCTACTTCAAAACTCTAATTTTGCTACTGTCATGAATTGCAATATAAATATCTGATATGCAGGCTATTGAAAGGGTCGTTCAACCCCCACAGGGGTTGCAACCCACCGGCCGAGAACCACTAATCTAGAACTTTCTTCCTTGGCATTTGTCAGACTCCCTTCCTTGTCTGCTTGTGCCTAATCAGTAGAGAGCCTCTCTCCAGGGCCACTCCGATCACACTGGTATAACACACAGCCTTGCCATCCCGGTCCCTCCACACCTTATGTTCTGCAGCTGCTTAGAGAGATGCCCTTAAGTAGCTCTCTGGGCTTTTCCTCTCTGGTCCTGGTATCCAGCAAGCATGAAGGCAGAGCTGTTTGTTCCATTCACCGAGGTAATCCCAGCACTCAGAGAGGAGAGTGACAGGAAATGCACGCTCAGTAGTCGCTGAGTGGATGAATGAGTAAAGAAACAACAGCAGCAACCCCAAAGGAGGCAGGGAAGCCGGAAGTCGGGGAGGGGGATGGACACGGCTGGAGCCAGTAATGCTTTGTCCACCTGGGCATCCAGGTCCTGGGGTCCTTTGTCAGTCAGCTAAGTCCTCAGAACTGAAACCATTACCAGTGTCTGGAGTCCAGGAGGAATGCTGAGTCTGTGCGTGGGAAGGAAAGCATGAGGCTTTCTAGGAAAGGGGGTCTCTATGGGACCCATCGTCTCTGGAGAGTTTATTTTTCATGGGACAAATCTAAGCATCTCAAGTGTATACAGACCTGAAGGAGGGGGATGAAGGAAGGATGGCATTGGATTTCCCGAAAACACTTTGTAATAGCGTGGGTCAATTACATAGCAAACACCTTTAAGATTTAAACTCTAATTTAAACATTTAATTCTTAAGAATTAATACACACAGATGCGATTACGGGATGGGAGAGGCATACAACCTCCATTGGGATCAGGGTTTTGACAGTGTTACTTACAACTTATATTACATCCATTTTATTTACTGGTCTAGGCAGCCAGAGCGTGGAGAGATACACAGCGCGGAATAAACACATTCATCCCAGGCGAGGAATGCTGGCGGGAGACACCGCTTTCCAACATTAAAAATGTATAAAGTATTTAGCAAAAGTTACAGAAAACAGACCAAACAAGCGAGTTTATTTTGTTAGAAAATTCCACGTTCATGGGGTTTGCTGATGTGCTCAGGTTGCAAGGGGATGCCACCGAACATCTTGTTCCCCGGGGAAGGGGGGGATATACAGAATTGGGCCCTCACCCAGGTTGGCTGGTGTCCCTTGGTATGTTGGTGCCTGGGTCCAAGAACCTGTCTGCTGAGGAAGCTGTAGGGAGGGACAGATGAGCACGTAGAAGTCCCGACAGGGTGTGACCTCAGGTGCCTCAGGTGCGGGTCAAACTGGGAAGCACGGCAGAGCCAGGCCCGGCTCTCTCTTTCTGTCCCAGTGTCAGCCTGTGACTCTGGCCCTTCACATTCTACCATTGAAGTCCTGTTGGGAACTCCCCTCAGATACAAAGGGGCCTCGTTTCCAATATCACCCAGGAAGCATCTAAAGGCGATCCCCACTTCCCTAGCCCAAGCCTCCATTGTTCAGTCCCCAAGAGCCACCACTCAGCACTAGAAGGTTAGGACAGTGGAGCCTTGATATTGAGCCCCTGTTGGAGCCTGTCCTGAGAAGCAGGTCCCTCACCTCAAGAACTTTCCCACAGAAACGATTAACCAGCAACTGAGGGGTTGGACGTGTCCCTTCCTCGGGGGGGGGGGGTGAGGGGAGGGGGGCCTTAGCAACTTTGCCTCTCATAGGAGATAATTGTGTTCTGATTCCCCAGCTCTGACTCTCATCTGAATCTAGGAATGCCTCAGTTTACCTGGAACTTCACAAGAGCCTTCTAGGATCCACCTTTCACTTGGCAGTACCTCAATAAGACAGCTTAGAGGAGTAGGTGCCAAGGGGTTCCATCCACAGCCTGGCCTGACCTCAGCTGGGTTAGGTCCTGTCTCTGCCGGTTGTAAGGTGTAGGCTTGACCTAGTCTGTGTGAGTGCTGACAAGTCAAAGCACAGCCGAGCACAAAGACTCGATCAGTTGACCTGTCTTTGTAGCCATCCTAGCTCCTGGGAACAGACCCAGAATGTACTGGTACTAACTTATAGTTTCTTTGAGGGTTTGGACTAAGTATTTCTCAGCTAGTGACATGATTCAGTTCCATTTGGGTTTACCTAGAAAAGTGTCCATCATGAGGTTTCTGGCCACAGCTGTGCAGATGACGCCAGGTTACACATGACCGCGTGCATAGGGTACAAATAGGCCATGAGGGGATGGGGGAGAACACTGGATCTGAAGGCTTTAGAGATTTCCCAGGACAAGCACCCTCAGTTGGCAGGTGATACGACAGATTCAGGAAAGGCTCAAGCTGTGCCCAAGGGTCATTACTCAATAAACACCAGGCCATGAAGACTGAGGTGACAGCCCCCTGCAGGAGAGGATTTTCCTGCACTGAGAGATAGTCCGCTGCTGCAGTGGAGGGTGACATTCTGTTGCTACCCCTTCCTGCTTTTGGTACTGACCCAAAACTAGAATCACCAGCAGAGTGAGTGCAGCATCAGAAGCACCCAAGGGCACAGCTGGGGGTCTGGGGAAGGAGGGCACAGCTGGGGGTCTGGGGAAGCAGTCCCTGGAATGTAGGAAGCAATGGGTGGGAATCAGTCAAACAAACTGGAGATCTGGGGCTATGACTTCCAGGGCATAGAAAACTCATTTAAAACTAAGGGAGCCCTGGGGTCCACCCATGGGATGGAGTACCACTCAGCAGCAAAAGTCTACTGCTACACACGACATCACGGCTGACTCAGAAGTTTGTATCCGTGCGACTCCAATTACATGGCATTGTAGGAAAAGGCAAAACCAAAGGGACAGAGCCTCCATCTGGTTGCTAGATCAGGGGTAGGCAAAGGGAACTGACATGAAGCCATGCCAATCTTGGTTGGCTGACAAGATCATCGATGTGAAGGTTCAAAGAACTGCGTTTCTTTAAAGGGTGAATTTTACTGTGCTTTAATCACACCTTGGTTACCATGAGAAGGGGGGGTGGAAGGATACTTTTTGGAGTGTGGACAATTATGGGGTGAGGGAGTCTCCAGGCTAAGCCATCGGGCAGTTGATCTGCTCCCTTACTTTGTATCTGGACAATGCCTTCCCTAGCTTCAGAATAACAGCAGCTCGTCAAACATCTGTTCAAGCTCCTGTCAAGACTCCAACAAGCCAAGGTCTTTTGACACCTTTTGACTTTTATGGCTTGTGTTTCCATGAAGGGACTTGGGCTTAGCCAAGAGTCTCACGCACCTGTCCATTACCCTGGTAATTGGCTGGATTTCCCAGAGGGAATCCACACAATCCCCTGCCATGAATTTGGATACTTTGTTTCAGCTATTAACCAACCATTGCGGAGATCCTCCCGAGACAACAGGGTCTTGTGTGGAGGTAGAAAGGTGGCCCCCACAGCAGTCCCAGAGACAGCTCTGGGCTGCCGTCCACATCCTTCAAATGGCCTGTGCAATGTGGGACTATTCAAAAGTACTAGAAAATAATGAAGGGTAACAAGTATCTCATCCTGGAGGTTGTCATGGCAACTAACCCATTTTTTTTTTGAACATCATTCATTTTAGAGATTTTTTTTTTTAAATCAGGCTTTTGCAGACAAAGCGTAAGTGCATTGGCACTCCTGAGCAAGGGTAAGTAGAAAGGGCTGTGCAGCTCACAGCCTGGACAATGGATGCTCGCTCACCCTGAACAAAACCAGCCAAAGCCTCTCAGAACCTAAGCACTGACATGTTCACAAAAGCAAGATAACAGGGCTGGGTGTAGCTAAGTGGGGGTGCACTGACTTAGACACACGTGACTCTGGGTTGGGTCCCCAGCACTGCGAACAGAACAAGGACCCCAACGACAGCTTGAACACTCAACCTCGGGTGCGCACTCTCAGTTTTCAGACGCCATCATCATCTTAATTTCACCCACAGGGAGCTGCGAAGGTGGCTGGACACTTGACTCCTTGTTCTGGGTGTCATTTCCTGGCCCCCTCGTCCTCCATGTTCTCGCTCTTTCTGTTTGTAGTACAGGGGAAGGTACTGAAAAGCAGCCAAAGCTCTTTCTGAGATTGGAGCCAGGTACGAGCTGAGAGTTCGGTAGTGATGAGACTCATCTTGCTGCTGGGTTAAGACCTAGCAGCATTAATACTTTAAGATCCCAGTGCAAAGTGGGATTGTACCTTCTCTCCAGAGAGGTCTAAACACACATGTCCACCTGTGGATGGAGCAGGCTGGACAGTGTCCTCTTAGACACAGACTAGTTCAGCACTCAGCACCCAGTTCCAAGCATTCACTGAGAAAAATAGTGTGTAAAACGAACAGATGCAGAAAAACCAGCACAGCCAGTACCTCGGAGAACTCAAATGGGCAGAGAAGGAGAGCCGACATTATCTCGGGAAGAGGGGAGTCTACGTAACACAGGTCTGAGGGCTTGTTTGGGTGACAGAGCTGTAGCCTGCCAGATTGATGACACATTGCTTGTCTATAACAAAATGCTTCCTGAATGAACAATGGGAGAAAGTGGGGGTGAGGGGGTGGGAGGCATATGCGGATAGACTAAAGAGGAGGTGAGGTGGCGATGAAGAAGGAATGGCCTCAGAATAAATTGGCTCACATCAGCCAACTGGGGAAGTGACAACTTTGAACCCTTTGGGTGGGGGCAAGGGAACAAAGTCATGAGCCACATTGTGGTACCCCAAACCCCCGTGTATGACAAGACTTGGAATTTGACCATCACTCACAAATTAGGTTGCCAAACCACAGCACCCATTTTTAATACAGAAACCAGGAAATAATATCCAAATATTGACAGCTGGTGTCATGGTTCATGCCGAGTTCTGGAATGCAGAGCACAGGTTGGTGAAATGTCCTCGTGATGGCCGTTATGGTTGAGATGTTTCAGTAAGAAAAGTGACGATCCTTAGTTTGTTTTAATGTATTAGGCACCCTTCTAAGAAACATGAGAGGTTCTGTAGATGAGGTGCCAAAAAAGGTCGAGATTAGTAAGTTGTCTGCTATCAGCATGTAAGACTAAAAGATGCGAGCTGTGCTCAGAGGATTCTGCCCTTTGGGGAGACAGACAAGTCAAATATTAAGTTGCCTGTGGGAAAGATGAAGAAGGATGACCTCCCAGGGCACACGTTCCCAGCTCCTGGCCCCTGCTCACTATGTGACTCCCCAAAGTTCCTTCTCCTAGGTGGCAATAACCTACAGCCTCAGAGTCTGCACTGCTGTCCAGAGTCAGTAAGGAGGACACTGCTTCCTACCCCATCATGTACATACACAGCTGGCCCCAGCAAAGAATAACCTAGGCTGACCCTGACTGCGATCCCACAGGACCTGGTCATGTGGTCAGCAGCCTGGGAGAGCTCGGGACAAGGTTGTCATAGTGTTGAGGGGAAGCGGGCATGTTGCAGACTAGATTTTTCTGAGACTCCACCCACAAAGCCTTTGGACATGCACACAGCTATCTGAGGACTTTGGAAACATTTTCTATTGAGTCTGGGAAGGGGTGTCAGGGTGAGAGTGGGGAGCTTCCTCCTTGAGAAAGAGGCTGAAAGGGAGGGAAGGTTGAGTCTTCCGTGTAGACTTTACAGCCAATGTCTGATCGGAAACTGATGGGAGCCATGATCTGGGGGTGCCAACTGAGGTAGTTCTGTCCTGACCTCTCCAGAGTTGGATTGAGAAGATAACCCCCGCCCTGTGTGGGGGATGAAAAAAATAGATATGGGCTCTTGGAATGTAATGGGGGAAAGTAGGGAGGGGTGAAAAAAGTTGTGGGTATGGGCTGTGAGCTACTCTGTGCCTCCTATCCTTGATTCTAGTCCTGACATTGTTTAAGGACAGAGACCTCCCTCCCTTCCTCTTCCTGTTGCCCTGGAGATGAGAAGTCAGCTGGAGGGACATGCCCTGGATACCTGGGGCACAGGCATGTGATGGCCACCCCATTGGAACTCAGCAGGGAGATCCCAGGGTTCTAGCTTCAGTTTGTTCTCAGAGTGACAAGCACAGCATGGGAGTTGGAGGGGAGGCTTCAATCTTCAAGATGGAGTCAGGGCTGTGAGTCCACCTTTATGGCCTAGGAATATTGGGGAGCCCCTGGCTGGGCCCTCTTTCTGGCATCACCGGCTCTTTTCCTCCTTTTCTGTGGACAGGTCAGCAAGTAATAGGGCAGATCCACCCCTTCTCCATGGGACCCCCCGCCCCTCTCCTCAGCAGAACCCCCAGGACCACACAGGCAGGTCTAGATTTCCATGTCCACCGGGCGAATATTGCCTGTTTTGTGCTCTCGGACCCAGAGCTCCCTGTCTTTGGCTGGGTCCACTTTCCGTAGCAGTTGGTCCACGGGCTCGACTGTCTGCAAGGGACACAGAGTGGGGGGGGGTCAAGGTCAGAGGTGGTAGCTGAACTGGGATGTCTCCTGCATCCCCACGCTGCTGCAGTTGGAAAGCCACTTCAGAGCAGCCCTTCTAGAAGGTTCCAGGGCCTTCTAGAAGGTGGTTTGAGGGTGTAGAGCACCGTGAGAGGTGGAGCTAGCCTGCAGAACCCAGGCCTGGAGAAGAGGGCAGGCTGTCTTAAAGGAGACCTCTTCCTCCATCTGTCTTCCCTGCCTTCGGGGCACTGGTCATTGTTTTAGAAGTTGTGTTTTCAGTTTGTTTTCTAAAGCAAATTCACACGGGGGTCAAATGTCTTTAGTTACTTTAGCCATTGTAAAGCTGCATGAAGTACATGCCTGTAGTCCTAGCACTGGGAAACTGAGGCAGGAAGAGCATACATGCAAGGCCTAGCCAGACCCAGCCTAAATCAGGAGAAGCTGCCACTTGTACTAGGCATGACTCATGAGAGCCTCTGGGACAATCATGCCAAGTCTGTCCTGCTAGCCTTAATGCACAGATGGGGCACTCACGCTTTGGTTAAACATGTCTGTCTCATGGCGCAGCTGTGTGTACTGACACAGATGTTGTCGGATCATCTCCACCCTCTCCACCTCCAGTCGTTCCAGCTCCTGCAGAGGAAAAAGAAAAGACCAGAGGCCCCTGAGTCCATCCTTAACTCAGGGACCTTCCCACTAGGCAGGTGTCAGACCACCAAGTATTCTATATACAAAGTCCTGGCTGTGCATCCCCAGCCCCTCTGACCCACTGGATGCTGAGGAAGGAGTCAATCTCTAGGGTGAAGAAGAAGGAGTGTCTCTGCCAGTTCAGTATAGAATTCTGCATGTGCAGTGTCCAAATGTCCCCACTGGGACTCAAAAAGAGGTTCTACGATTGTCCCCATTGGCCCAAAGTGTCATGGAGTTAGAAGAAGAGCAGCATTTAAGCGGAAGTCTGTGGTGTTTGTTCTCCAGTTGATGAGGGGAGTGGCAGGATTGTGTGGGGGTGCTCTCAGTCTTTCAAGCTCTCTGGCTTCTACCTACTCCTAGTGTTGAGGTACAAGGAAGACCAGGCAGGGAGCAAAGCAGGCTGGGAAATGGGGCAACCATTGTCAGAGAAGAGCGGAGAGGCTTGTTGGTTTCTAGCTGGTTCCGTGACTCTAGGGGATTAGGCTGTTTTTCTGTGGGGAACTAGGTCACGGCCCAGGTGATTAACCTTGAAGGGAGGTAAAGAAGGGGGCTTAATTAGGGGATTAATGGAGGAGAGGAAAAGCAGGGCACTGACCCTGAAGGAGGCTGCTAATCTTCCTAGGTGGGCTAGCACCTAGAGAAGGTAGCTGGTTAGGGGACGGGAAGTGTGACGTTGGACACTGGGATGATAGATTGTACAATGAGCATGATGTTGTCACCTTCTCCCGCTTGTTCCAAGTACCAGTCACTCATTACTGTCCTGCCCAGGCAGGTCTGGCCAACAGGGAGAGATAACTGATCCTTTAAAAGGAACATATAGGCTAGCATGTACGGTTTGCCACCATGGTCTTCCTTCACAGCCTCTCTATAGCTCCCCAGTCTTCCCATTCATGTGTCAACTACCTGAAGTTCTGAGTGTGTGTCTGTGTGTCTGTGTGTTTATGTCTCTCACTCTGTGTGTGTGTATGTGTGTGCATGTGTGTGCATGCGTGCGTGCATTGGGGAGAGAGTGTCTGCTTCCATTGCTTTTCTGTCTATCATAGCAGGGCCATGGTTCACTGAGATGAGGAAGTTCCTGGTGGCTCTTGATACCTCAGTGAACAGTCAAAGAAGAACCGAGCAAGACCAGGCCCTTGTTGAGTTCATAGAGCAGGGAGCGCTGGAGCAGGAGCTTGGAGCAGGAGCATGGATTCATGGGTAGGTATCAGACTGAGGGCTGGACTCCAGTGCTGAGAGAGATCTAGTGACCATCTCTGCTGTGACCACCTCTCCATCCTCCCATGCTCATTGTCCCCTGCCCAGGGCTGCTTGTGCATCAATCTCTTTACAGTTTGCTCGCACATCTCTGGTTACATACCAGTGTGGTCGTCACCATCTCTTCAAACCACTTGGACTGGGCCTGGTTGTAGAGGTCCACACAGCGCATGAGGTCATCTCCTGGGAAGAGCCAACAGCCACCATCAAGCCCTGTTACATGCCATCCTGTCTCCACTATGGACACCCTTCCCTTCCTGTGCCCAAGGTCGTGCCCGTTCCCCTCCCAGAGTCTCAGTGGTCATTGCAAAGTCAGGGGGAAGAAGAGCAGCGAGTGGGTAACAGAAGGGGACAAACCGCAGGGCGAGTCACAGTGTGTTATCTGAGCTCAATTGAAGACCCCAGGAGCTTGGGTCCTCAGGAAGAGACTGCACGTGACCCTGGGTGCCAAGGTACACATCTGTAATCTCAGCACTTGGGAACCTTCCATTTTATAACAGCAATCTGAACACACAGCTCCATGGCTAACATACTACTTTCTGTAATGACATCTGTATCTCAAACTTTTTAAAAAATTAGACTAGAACTATGAGGTAACCACAAAATAATAGTAAGGATGCTGGCACCTTAGACCCTTGCTACACAAATCTCAGTTGGTGTACCACTGGCATCAAGTGACCCTGGGAACTGGTGACAAGTACAAGCCGTCAGGATGTGCCCCAGACCTGCTGAACCAGAAGCCAACTTTCCCCCAGACCTACGGTGAGGAACATGTCAGAGGAGCAGACACGGACATACACGGCACTGTGTAAATGAGGCTCTGGTGAGAACGGAGCAGCATGGTCTCTGCTCATGCTGGGAGAAGCTTATGAGTCAAGTGACTCACTCTAATACATCAACAAGCGATTCTAGGAATTCTCAGAGTTGAATGCTGCCATTTGAATGGATTCAGAGTCATTCTTTTGACATAACTCTTACTCATGTGCCTTCTGGTGGGAAAGTGGAGGAAAACGAAGTGGCGTGTTCATATTAACTCCAGACCAGTTCCAAATCCTTAGGCCCTGACCACAGATAAACCATGAGTCCTGTGCTTTGAAGAACAGCTGTGCTAAGTGCTTTCTTCATTTCGTTCCTGGCCAAAGTTGATGACTACCCCTTGGTTCAGAGGGAAGCACATAGATGCATCTCACTCCCTGGATTGCCACCATGACATCCCCTGCTCCAGGGTGGGTGCAGCATGCTGCCCTATGAACACTCACTGTGAGGCTCCTGGTGCCCTACATGTCCATCCTGATTTTGAGAACATGTTTCAGGAAGATCTGCAGCCCCCGAGAGTGGTGTGGGGAAGGTTGTTTCCTTTCCATGGTAGCCCGGGAGATGGAGACTGGTCCCTTCCTCAGAGAGTGGGTCCTGGAACCGGAATGCCAGGGCTGCCTCGCTCCACCAAGGAGGCTGCATGACTCTGGGTATGCCAACTAAGCTGCCCATGCCTCAGTTGCCTCACCATGAAACAGGTATGACAGTCGCAGCTTTTAAGAGTCACTGTGGCTGGGCAGCGGTGGCGCATGCCCTTAATCCCATCTCTGCCAAGTGGGAGGCAGAGGCAGTGGATTTCTATGAGTTCAAGGCCAGTCTGGTCTACAGAGTGAGTTCCGGGACAGCCTAGGCTAAATAGAGAAATGCTATTTTGAAAAACAACAACAACAACAACAACAACAACAACAAAAGTCATCTTGAAGAGGGGCTGATGTGTGCAAGATGCTTGGAATAGAGACTAGACATACAGCAAGATGCCAAGATGCCCCTCATGGCAGAGATGATGCCTTGAAGTCAAACCCCCATCTTCCCCCAGATTCAGATACTCTTCCTCCCAGGAGCATTGTGAGAGATGGGGGAGGAGAAGAAAGGAAACAGAAGGGAAGAAATGTCAGTGCTTCCTTCCAGGGAGAGACCTCCCAAGTCAATCCTCCTCAAACCCAGACCCGGCCTAGAGGAGGCCACTGTGCAGAGAACTGGCAGCAGAAACCAGGCAAGGAAAAAACCAAAAGCAAGCAAACAAACAAACAAACAAAACCCCCAAAAACATCAAAACAAAAAACAAAACAACAAAACCCAAGTACAAAACCTTATTTTTTTTTCTCCAAAGAACAAAAGTAAAAGACAAATTATAACCAGTCAACCAGTCACTAAGAACAACACACAGCACACAACAAAGATTTGAGTTTCTGGAACGGGGGGGTTGGAGGAGCTGTAAAAATAGTGAGGGTATTTTCAGAATGCTCAACCCTTTTATAGAGAGAATTACAAAGTAATAGTAATGTGTGTATGTATGTATGTATACGTGTATATATTTACCAGCACACCAGTGATTTCAAGTTTGTTACTAGGCAGTGCTGACAAGAATTTGAGGAAGAGGCATTCACAGGTGTTAACCATGGAGCCCTCTCTGGAAAGCAATCTGGAAATAGTTGTGAAAATGAATCAAACCTTCTGACCCAGCATCTTCATTTTCTCCATATGCAGAGAGTTAGAGTTCCACTAACAAACACGGGATCTCTGGTCCCGGGCGAACACTCAGAAACAATCTCTAAGTCTTACAGTCTATCAAAGCAATGGTGAAAGAAATTTGGATACAATCCTGGGGCCTGGGGCTGCAGCCTGGTGGGAATACTTCCTAGTTTGTGTAAGGCCTCGAGTTCTCTCACCAGTTCTACAATAAAACATTGCAATAAAAATAAAAGTGTCCGATGCGCATGAATGGATGTATAAAGAGGTTTAGCAGGAATGAGATAGGGGTACTTCTAAGACACAGTCATTGAAAAACAAGATCGAAGATAGAGTATAGCATGATCCAACTTATATGAATTCAGAGAGTTATTTGGGGATTATTTCTGGTGAATAACATGCTCTTGTGCACGGATGAAAATGTGTTACATACTTCTGTTGCTATATAGCTTTGTTTTGTAACTTAATGAATTAATTTGAACATATGTTTTCTCTCTCTGGGTCCCCTTCCCATTAACAATAAACATATCAGGAATTTATGAAAATGTTTCTGGACCCAGGATGTTTATCTAATTTTTGTCAACTCGTTATTATTTCTATCCCACTTTATTTCACAGCATCTAAGGTGGATACTTCATTCTAGAATGATACAAATTGCAGCAGGTTCATCAGAAATCAAGAAGAAGGATATTATCTAAAGTTATCCTTGCATGGGGAAGACTTGGCATCTTTGAGAGAGCTGTTTTCTTGTGTCTAAGAGCCTTTATCTTCTTGCCTTGTGCAGCAACTAATTGTCACCACTAGGTGGCAACAGAAACTCGCTCACTGGAGCAACATGGGCAAATTCTGAAAGACGGATGCTTTAAAAACTGAATTCTGGCTTTTGTCCTCAGGGCAGGAGCTCACTTCCACAGTATAACTAACTCCCTGGGGAAGTGGAGCATCTTGGATAGGTGGGTTGGAGGTTGCACTCTTCAAACAGGGACAGTGCTCTGAGCTCTTGGTGCATGGAGAAATCTATCTCTGGACCTACATCCAGGGCTTAGACAAACCCAAAGGCCATGGAAGGGACAGCGTGAGCTGGACAGCCCTCACTGCAACCTTGGAGCAGCTTATCTGCTTCCTTTCTCTTCCCTTGAGATCCTTGGACATGGGGCAGGGAGGAGACACAAGCGACACTTCAAAGGGGAAGATGGGAAGTGGGAAGGACCACACCACTGGAACGGAAGCCTGACCAGAAGACCTGTCCCTTCCCTCTGCGCTGGTATTGCTAGGACACTGCTGGACTCACCAGCCTGAGTGGACTTCCGTCGCGCCTTCTTGATGTCCTCCTCGGTCTTGTTGCTCAACTTGATCTCCAGCTGCTGGGTCTTCATCTCCAGGTCCTTCTGCCGCTCTGTGAGGGCTTTGCGGGCCTGGGGCGGGGGAGCCAAGCCCAGAGAAGCTGTTCATAAAGCTGCAGCAAGGTTTCAGGGTTCCACCACCCGCCTACCTATGCTCATCCTCTCTGCTCATATGAATGATGGTACCCTGGCACGGAGGGGCCAGAGGGCTGGCTCCTAGCTGGGTTTTTTCTTCACCTGCCGTCTTCCAGCCATGTCTGCATGTGGCTTGTCAGTCCCGAGCGTGTTCCCTCCAGAGCCTGTGCCTATACTGCGATTCTAAACCCACTGGCTCTGAGTTGGAGAGATGGAGAGATGGCTCAGCAGTTAAGGACATTCGTTCTTACAGCTGACCCAGGGGTTGAGTCCTAGCACCCATTTGGTGGCTTCACCATCATCCCTTAACCGTAGTTTCAGGGGGTTCAATGCCCTCTTCTAACTTTCAAGGGCACCAGGCAAGCAGGTGGTGCACAGACATATGCTTGAGCAGAACGCTCATACAAATAAACAAATACAATTAATAAACCCTAAAATGATAAAAAAAATACCCACTGTCTCTCAAGGGTTGGTAGGGACCATAAAGGTCACCTGAGTTACCTCCTAGCAGTGCACAACAGACTGTGGGTAACACCTTACTTATCTCACAGCCTCAGCCCTTAGTGTGTCTGCATCATCATCATCATCATCATCATCATCATCATCATCACCACCACCACCATCACCATCCTCATTAGCACCATCATCCACTCTTAGCCTTTGGTGGAGGCAGAGCCATGTCTTGGGTACCTGCCATGGTTTGCCACACCTGTTCTATAGGACACTCAGGCCACTGGGGAGATTGTCTGTTCCTCCAGGGCTGGCCACCAGAAGCCCTGCCTCCCATGGTATGGCTACCCACAGGAAGGTGATTCTTTCCACATCTGGGAGGCGGGATTAGTTCAGGGAACATCAGAAGGTGAGGCCCAGACGCAGTAGTCATGTAAAGTAGCTGCGGCCCATCTATCTGACTCGGTGCCCACGGAAACAGGAGTTGCCTTGCCCCATGTGGCCATCACAACTTCCACTTCACCCACAGCTTCTCCTTGCTCCCACTTGCCCTTTGAAGAGTCATCTGAGTGTCCTGGGTAGCAAGTCATCCCTGCCATATGGAGAGGTAGGGGTTCCTTGGACGCCCCCCCCACCCCAGCATCAAGGACAGACGTTTCTGCTGGGACAGCCACAGCTGGCTTCTGTCCTGGAGGTCCCCAGCGGTTCACCAGGTACCCTGGCCTCTCACCTTCTCCACTGAGACATAGCGGCTGGCCAGCTGCTTGCGGAGGTCAGCGATGTGGTGGTCACACTTTTTCATGTCCTTCTTGAAGTTCTCGCGGAAGTTCATGAGTGGTTTCTCCACCTCGCTGTGGAGCTGTGGAGGAAGGCAGAGAGGGTGTGTTCAGCACCAAGGCATTAGCTGGGGGGGGGGGGGATGAGACCTTCCACTATCTTGTAGAAACCAGGGGCAGTGACCTGGATGGCTAGACCATACAGAGAAGGCTAACGAGATGGGCATCTTTATCAGCTGTTTGCACTGCCCCATTAGCTCCCAGATGGCATAGCTACGTGCTGAGAGGGGAGCCCAGGATTTTCCAGTTCTTCCATTTAGCTCACGGCTGCCATTTCTGGACTCCATGGCAGCTTCTTCTCTTTCCGAAATTTCATCTTTAACACTTGGTGGTTGAAACAAGTACTCTGTGCAGTGACTAAGTCACACGGAGGATCCCTCGCATGGGTATCCTCACCTGTGTGACCTATGCAGTTGTCTAGTATAGCTTTGTTGGTGTGTCCTCTTCTCCTGCCCTTTTCAAATTGGGATCCTTTGGGGGCTAGACCGTGCCACCTGCTTGTGACTGCTGTGTGAGGTAACTGGAAAGGCTGCCCATCCCCCGGGTGATCTGAGGTCATTTCTATTTGTTGCCCAACTGCTGCAGGACTGGGGTACAAAGACGACCCGGGCCTGCTCGGACCTCCAGGAAACTGTGGCAGGGGCTGTCAGGAGGCCCTTCGGGAACTCGCAAGGACAACTGTCCTGAGCGGTACTAAGAGGAGCAAGTGCATTTCCTGTCCCCACCCTGGTCCTTGTGTTCCTTCTGGGGACCTGAGAAAGAGTCCCCTGCAGTGAGAACTGGTGGCTTTTAGTTTTAAATCACCCCCCCGCTTCCCCACCACACAGAACACTTTCTTGAGATTTCTTTTAAGATATTTGTTTTGATTGTAAGCATGGCGTGTTTATTTTTTGCAAGAATGAGGATCTGGTCAGCCAAGAGGGCAGCCTAGTGCTTTCCCATGTCCTACACCCAACTAGGAGCTTGCCAGCCCCTGCCCAGACTCAGCCTTCTGTAACTCCACCACGCCAGTCCCTTGGGGACCCTCAACATGACCCACATGTCCCATCAGTGTCTGTGGCTAGCCAGCGCTGTCTCCCAAACAGATGGCTCCCAGTTTTGAGGTTCTGTAGCCTTTCTTCTCTCCTTCAGCTTAGTTTGTTGTGACACAGTCTTTTTTCCGGAGATCATCCAAGACTTGAGTGTTCTTATCTTAACCCCCAGTGTCATAAGCTGTGGGTTCTGTCCCCTAAGGGGACAGAAAACTGGAAGTGGGACCTTACACAAACTTAGAAACAGTGCAAGGTCTATGAACACGCAGCAACCAAAAGTTAATACAAAATCAACAATGTGATGAAGCTAAGCTGTCCACGTCACATGTGACTTCACAGCAGCCTTGCTCTAAAATGCACGGCAGTTTGCAATGCCCATGCCCTTCACGTCACACAACACCAACGAACACGGCCTAAAGCATCTCAGCTGAAATCCAAGGTTATTGCTATGAACTGCAGTGGTTTTACTCCAGACACCAAGTTTTGGGGATTTGAACTCAGGTCCTCACAATTGTACATTATTAAGGGCTTTACTCATTGAGCTATTTCTCTAGCCCATATATTAAGGACTTCTTAAAACTAACCTTTTTCGTTGAAAACAATGGTTTGGCGTCTTTTAAAGATTCATTCTTAGCTCTGAAGGCTTTGCTTCAAGCATGGCATCAGCGAGCTCTCTCGAAGGTATTTTTCTGGGAATGTGTGGCCAGTCTGGCCTGTACTAGATGGGCCAGGCTACTGGAGCTGATTGGTGCGGGGGGGGGGGCATGGCTGCCCCAATCACTTCAAACATCCGAAGAGAAGAATTCCATGCTGGAAGTGCGTTCAGCGCCTGTCTGGTCCAGGCATTTCCAAGTGGTGAATGACTAGTTTTGTGACAACAGCTTCGTGGGTCAGGACCAGGTTTCTTGAGATAATAGGACCCAACTCGGGGAGAAAAATATCAGGCTCCATTTTAGGCAGAATAAAGTAGGGTGCCATGAAGCATCTGTTTTGGCTACATACATATGCATCACTGAGTGAGCGTGGGGGTGGGTACGCACATATGCTCGGTGAACATGTGAAGTGCCTCCCGTGCTCACAGTCAGGGAAGATTAAAGCCACAGACTGGGTTGGAACTCTTCATTTCACACATGAAGAAAGTCACCCGCCCATGCTCGCTAAGCTTGGTCATGGCAGTGCTGGGCTCACGTTCATCCTGCAGAGCACAGATCTGCCTGTGTTCGTGCCTCTACTGCATGGCCAGGTCTCCTTCCACCAGGAGGAACGTGTCCATTCTCCCTGCTTTCACCGGGGCCAGGTCTAACTGTCTTCCAATAGAGCGAGCTCATTTCTTGAGATTGCTGTTGCTATTAACACTGGCTTGAGCCAGGAGACTGGCAAAGCTAGAGAGCTTGCCGTACGCAATCTCATTTCTTAAAAGGCTTTTACCCTCGACACTGAGCATTAGGGTGGAGAAGAATTTCAATAAACCTTTCGGAGCTGACATCAAATAGGTTCTGTGCCTCTGGAACTGTATTCTTCAAGGCTGACAAATCAATCCTCAGAGTCCCCTTCCTCTTAAGAAAGGAGGCTACTGGGGTAGCCTGGAGTCACCAACACACCCAGGCCAGAAGCAGCAGAATGGTGTAAAGTTTGTGCCTCGCATTTGCACGCCCCCTCTCTATGAGCCATCCTTAGTCCTGGGGTCTGTGAGCTTGTGAACCTTGCTTAAAATGGCCTGAGCATTTCGGAAATCAGCCTGCACAGCACCATTGGCACCCCCTGCAAGGGCAGGAGCTCCCTTGGGTTAGGGTTTCTCCTGTGTGTAATGCTGGAGATTGAACCCATTTGCTTCTTGTTGGTGGCCTCCGCTGCCACTTCATGTGGGGAAAACAGCACTGCTGGGGGTTGGGACGAGAGGAGGGAGGCCTTGGAGGGAAGCTACTCATGAACCATGGCTTAAAAATAACCCAGTGCTTCATCTGCAGCTCTGAAGGCAGCAATTCAGGGAGCTCCCTCCTCACGGCGGGGGGGGGGGGGGGGGGGGGTAGGGGGGCTACCATACCAATGTGTTGGGGAAGGGCTTGGCTGCATGCAGTGAGTGTGCTCTTATGAGCTGGGAAATCTCAGTGGGGGACCAGGTCCATCTCAGGCACTCACCCCCTTCAGAAGCCAGGAGCCAGAAGCAGTGCTATCCCCATAAAGGCTCTCCCATGGTGGCAGCCATTCCCCCTTCTGTGTGCATTGTACATGAGAGATGGAGGGCGAGGTAGAGTGACATATTCCTGTCCTTCAAGAGTGCGCATGGTACAGGACCCTAAGGCAGGGAACTGACAAATGAGAAAGCATTGCAAAGAGTGGGCTAGCTAGCGGCAACTGTCGATGCCTCAGGAAGGAACAGTGTCTTGGAGGATACTACCTTCAAGTGACAAAGTCAGAACTTAACCATGGAGGCTCTGGGTGTTCAAACACTTGAATAGATACTACCCGGGGCCATGGTGGTTGATGGGAGGTAAGTCAGAGGGGAAGAGAGGGTCAGTCAAGATGGTAGGTGGCATTCCCAAAGGCTTCCCTTTCTTTTTTTTTTTTTATTCTTTTCTTTGTTTGGGAAGGGGAGGGGCGTGTTGAGACAGGGTTTCTCTGTAGCTTTGGAGTCTTTCGTGGAACTACCTTTTCGAGGCAGGGTTGCCTCGAACTCACAGTGATCCACCTGCCTCTGCCTCCCATATGCATGTTTGTGGGCAGGCCTGTCAGTCACATGGGTTTTAGTGTGAATGCTCACTGAGGCATTCAGGTGACCTCTCACGTAGAAGAAGCCAAGAGTCTGAGAGGAAATGTGGAGAGATAGCCAGGGAGAAGAGACAACGTTCCACTTGGAAGCGTGGGGAATCCTGAGGCAGAACAGAGCTCCTGGGTGCAGGAGGAGGTGACCAGCAAACCCTGCAGCAGTGGTTCTTAGTCTCCCTAAGGCTGTGATGCTTTAATTCAGCTCCTCATGCTGTGGTGACCCCTAACCATAAAACTACTCTCGTTGTTGCTTCACGTCTGTAATTTTGGGGCTGTTATGAATCATGATGTAAACATCTGTGGTTTCAGGTGGTCTTAGGCGACTCCCGTGAAAGGGTCATTGGACCCCCAAAGGGCTCACACCCCCACTGTTGCTCTGGTTACTCATTTCTTCCGAGGTAGCTATTAAGCATCTCCTACAGGTGTTCAGTGTTGACCGTAGTGATGTGACCAGGACAGACTAGTGCCTGACCTCGGAAAGTCACGGTCCTGGTGTCTTTGGGATCAGATGAAGGGGGCATTCAGAAATTCTGCAGCAACAAATCAGTTTTTAAGACTCTTCCCTTAGACATAGCCTAGTGTTACGGGCACAGAAAAGACTACCATCTCAATCCATTCCTGTGAAAACAACAAAGAGAGGCTGGGGTTCACTGAGTGAACCAGGAGGCATCCACTCTTACCACACAGACCCTGAGTTTCGTGCTTCCCATGGCTCCTGAGAACTCACTGGGAGCTGCTCGTTAAATTAGCCATGACTAAAAAAGAAATGAATGAACTCACATTATAGTAAACAGTTATTATCACAGACCTAGACTTATATTTGAAAAGGTGATCCTTTCTCAACATCCACGCCATGCTCTGATCTGTGTTCTTGGTGCACACTTCCGGCCATTTCTGCTGCTGTCTGTTCAGTGGAGACAGTGTCTAAAGGTGCGCTATGGGTATCTTCTCCCAACTCTGTATTCAGGGATTTGGTACCATAGAAAATGGCAAGCAATATAAGCTACAGAGAGTTGGTAACCAGTTATCAGCATGCTTTGGTCTAACTCTGGAAGGAGAGGAGGGTTACCTTGGCGGAAAACTTGAGATGAACTTCAGCCTCATCTGCCAGGCTCTTCTTCACTTGGGCCCACGCCTCTCCCAGGGATCTGCAACAGGAAGGGGTTTGTTAGATTGCAAAATGGGGCAGCGAGGGCTCTGGTCCAAAGCTACGACCCTTCCTAAGAAGGGATGGTGGTTCTAGGCTGCATATCTCCTGGAGGAATAGAACATTCACGACTGTGGGCTTGAATGAGACTAGACTCAGTCACCAAGGCCAAGGTAAACCAGCCTTACTTCGGGATCTAAGACAGCAGCAAATATCTCAGTAGCAGGAGAAATATCTGGAACCCAGAGGCATTCAAGGACTTGGGGGAGGTGTGAGAGGGTGTGGGTCTTTCCAAAGCTTGTGTTGCAGTGGGGTTGACACCTGTCAACAGTACCCAGCACCCTTTGCCTCCACACCCTGGCTTGCTGTTGAGGGGACAAATATGTGCTAGTAACTAAAGGAAGAAAACCAGAATTGTTTCTGAAGGCCCTTCCCTTGCAGCCAGCCCACAGGTCGCAGTCACTTGGCCTCCAGGAGAGGCACAGATGGTCCACTTGGGTTCGGGGACATCCCAGGTGCAGCCACACACTAGATGATTCTCCTAGCCATCTGCAGAGGCATGGCTTCTCTCTAGCAGCTTCTGGATTGTGCACCCCACTGGGGCTCACGGTGCACACTCTAAACTGTACCATCCCTCTGTTCCAAAGAGACACTCCAAACAAAAGGCATCTCCCGGAGTCCTGGAGACTTCTGAAGGCCCCAAGATACAGAATTCATTATTGGGGCCCTTTGACCCCATGGCCATTCTAAGCCAGACCCCTGACTCCTTCTCCAGACCTCTCACACAGTCAGCTGACTTCATTTCATGCAAAAGCTGCTTGTCCTGGGGAATTTGTTGAATGTTAGTGGCAAAAGCTGATCAGAAGACAGCCCGCTGGGGCAGAGCACTGGAGATGACACTTCCAGGTTCCAAGGCTAGTAGCAGATCTGTCCTAGCGATCCAGTTCCCTACCTGGCTGGGGGCAGCGCTGGCCTGGCCTTGGTGAGTGTGCATGAGAAACGATCAACTGATATCTAGAGAGTTTGGAAGAAGGAAGAGTGTTGTTGGGGGTCCCATCAGAGAAAGACTAGGTGGGTCTGGGGTGACCATGCCGTAGGGGCCTGGGATCTGGAAACCTGTGAGGAGAATGCACAGTCCTGCAGGCCTGCATGGACTGGGCTCCTCTACCTCACTCCACAGTGGGCGCTGTCATAGTGGTTATATGAATCAGGGGTGAGCAGAAGCTGTCCCCTCAAAGCATGTGCAGCAGACTTCATCCCTGGCACGGCAGTGTGGGGACTCTCGGGGCCATAACAAAAAGCTCGGGGGCCCTAAGCTGGCCACCTCCCTTGCGGTTGACATGTGGTGGCTTCTGTCACATGTGAGGACAAGTGTGTAGGCACTCTGTAGGTGCTAGCACTTGATCTTGGACCTCCCAGTTTTCAGAACCATAGCCAATCTCTTTTCTGCATAAATTATCCATTTAGTGACACAAAAGGGTCTTAGACACAGTCACACAGAAAGGTCAGGCTTGTGAGCCTCAAGGGCATGGTTCTGTGTTTCACTAGGGAAAGGATCAGAAGAGGGCTCCGTCAGGGCAGCTGTTAGAGGATGACAACTGGATGTCACATGGCAAGAAGGAATCTTGACTATCACTTCCTGCCACTCCCATGGGCCCTCAATGCTGACCCTAACTTCCTACTGAGAGCCAAGAAGCCATCGCCATCACGGGCAAGGGTGCTGTCCTAGGAGCTGAGTGACATCCAGAGGGTCCTGGAAATACGGGAGTCTGCAAAGGCCCTGGGAGAGGTTGAGCCTCTTCCAACAGGGCGGCAAGCCTGCTGCCTGCAGAGCACATGGGGTAATTGTTTAGGGTCAGGCATGGCGGCCTGAGAATGTTAGTTCAAGGACATTGGGGACAAAGTGGCACCATTCCCATCCCGGACAATGTTTGCAGCCCTACCTGCAGGACTGGCATGCCCCAGGCAGAAGACCGTCACCTCTACCTTTCAGATGGGTTCAGTGCCTATGTCCTCTCCTCAGTATTCCAAAGTACTTCAAATGTACGGAACTACTGAACTAGGCCTTGTCAATATGTCTAAATGAATATATGTTAATTAAAAATAAATTTTAAATGTTTGGGGAGAAGCTATTCAAAATCCTCATTTGAAGATGGTATCTGATGAGAAAGAGAGATAAAAGCTGCCAGCTGAACCTGGATCTCAATGTACAGTCTGAGGCATGCCAAACCACGGCACAGGCTCCTGGCAAAACTCCAACCAAGAACAACCAACATTCCATGGCCTTTCCACACATGAGAGGGTTGAAGGCAGAACGAGAAACCGAAGGCTGCTCCTTCGCCAGCGTGCACACGTCTTGTGCCATCGAAACTGGACAGTGCACCTAAGTTACCAGATAGCTCAAGTGTCCCCTACCTGCCCTTGGGTTTCCGAGCTCTCAAATCCCTGCCCAAGCTTCAAATGTCTAGAGCTGCACTGTGGGTCCAAGATACAGTAGTGCTGTGCCTTGTGCCTGCCAGTGGAGCAGTAACGGTGTGTGTGTGTGTGTGTGTGTGTGTGTGTGCACGCGTGAGCGCGCGCACACACACACACACACACACACGTGCTGCAGGGATAGCTGTACCTGAACTTGTGTGGTTGACTATGCTCATGTGTGTGGCTCTGGCGTGAGGAGCAGGCTGCTTAGCTTAGGAGCATATGCTGTGTGCTGGCAGGACAAAATGTCCCTGGCAGGAGCCCAAGCCGAGGGGGTGGAAGCAGGAAGGCTCCAGAGCCATAGAGTGATGCCAAGCGCAGGGACCCACAGGAAACTGCTTTCCCTGGTGACAGGGCTACTTCCCGTGCACTTCCTGCCTTGTCCCAGGATAGGAGGCAGTAGGTGAGGCCAGGAGCCAGCTAACCATGTTCCTGTCCGGAGAGGGACACGGACCCTATTAGGCCATCCTGCGGCTGACTGGGAGGAGATGGCCTGGTTTTAGTCAGCCCCGAGGAGCCCTAATCAAAGTCATATTCAATTGGTAAAAGTCTCCATCCCAGGCAGACTCCAGTCACGAGGCAGACTATGGTCTGTTCACCATCAGAGTTCCCTGAGGACTGCGCCTTCTTTCTTAGGTTCACCTCTGGAGGGTGATGGGACAACAGAGGCAGCGGCTGAGGACCCTGTTGGTGATAAGTTCCCGGGAGCCTTGAGCATTTTTCTTCTGAGGTGAAAACCAACTGTGATGAAATGATCCAATTTAAGGCAAGCAATGGAAAAGTGTCTACAACATCCACACTGGAGAATGGACTACTCTTGATGGCTCCAAACCCTTCATCCCCAGTCAGAAAGAAAAATTTAACATTCCTCCCTCCCCTTAGCCTTCTGTCATATCTTGAAACTCTGATGGAGGATAGGGGAACTGGGTAGTAATTAAGGTTAGAGGGCAAAGCCCTGATCCAATAGGATTACTGACCTTGTAAGACCCACTTCCCGACCCCAACCTACACAGTGGATGGTATGTAAGCCCACAGTGATTTTTCAGCCATCTGTGAGCTCAGGGAGAGCCCATGCCAGACACCAACCGTGCTGGAACCTTGACATTGAACTCCCAGGCTCTAGAACACAGACAAAATAGAAGCCTTTCCTGTTCTTTTTCTCGACAGGGATCTCACTATGTAGCCCAGGTTGGCCTTAAACTCACGATCTTCCCATCTCTGCCTTCTGAGTGTTGGGATTGCGGATGTGTAAACCTTCACGTACAGACATGTTCTTACAGTTTAAGCGACTCAGTCTGTGGTATTTTGTTAGAGCAGCCTCAGCGCACACGTATCCTGAATGGAAAGACGTGACTACTAAGTCTCACTCCTCACTTCCCTCTTCATCACTAGCCAGTGAGCTTTGGACTCCGTGACCCACGGTGGCTGGCTTCTTTTACTTAGCATCACGTTTTTGAGGTTCACCCATAAGGTGGCGAGTCTCAGTATTCTATTCCTTTTTATGGGTGAATAATATCCCATTGTGCATCCATGAGTACCATTGTGAGCACGCCGAGATTTGCATACCTGCTCACCTCCTGATGGAATTTGGGCCATTTCTACCTTTTAGTCTCTGAGCAGTACTACTTTGAACATGTTTGTTTGAGTCCTTGTTTTTGACTCATTTGGGTATAAACCTCAGAAGGGGTGGCGACATATACCACTTCTCTGATTATCTCTTGAGGAAGGCCACCTATTTTACACAGTGCCTGTGTCGCTTGACATGCCTACCGGTGATCACAAGGGCCAGGGGTCTGAAGACAGAAGAGAAGGCATCCATCCCTGCAGGATTTCTCCCACTGGAGATCCTTGCATGGATTGGAGGGTTGGGAGTGTCCCTTAACCCCATCTGGACTGTCACCATAGGAGAGGGAGATAAGGCCTTGCCTGGGGCACTCAAAAGCACTCTCAGAGGCTGGATAGGAAATTGTCAGATTTAGTTTCCCCCTAGAAGAAGGGGGACAGAGCTGGGTACCTGGAGGCTGTTGTTCAGCTCCAGGGCACAGTACAAAGGAGCTTTGATGTGCTCTATCACCTAGGAGACTCGGGTCACTAAAAAAAATATTCAGGAAGGATATACTGGAGTATGAATACTTAGACTTCAGATCATGGTGCCCACTTTGGGTCAGGAGCACCAGTATTTTTTATTTGTTTATCTGAGATAGGGTCTACCTATGTAGTCCAGGTTGTCCCAAAATTCCTAATCCCCCATTCCTCAGTCACCAGAGTGCCGAAATTGGGGCTAAAACACTTAATTATGAGTACTGTCTTAAACCACGAGTCTGAACCCTGAACTGTGAAAACCCATCTTGAGCCATGGGTATCCACCTTGAGTTACCGGTCCCTGGCTAAGGCATGAGTGCCTACCTCGAGTCATGAGAATCCACCTTGGACTATGAATGATTCAAGGCACTGACCCCACAGTGAGCCAGACAGGCCTATAACAATCTCTCCATCCCAAGTGGGTAGCATTGCTGATATGTGAATAAGGATCCCTTTCTCTGTGTCCCTTCACCCTCCCCAGTCCCGCCACTCTCCTCCCAACTCACCCTTCCTCCTGGGCAGCCAGGGAGTTCTGAGAGAGCTTAGCCAGGTTTTTTGCATACTCCTCTTCAATCTTTATCCTGCGAAGAGAGAAACCCTGGTGTATCTGCTCCGCGGTGTAGACCATGAGTTGGACCCACCACACCCTGCCATGCCTCAGTCTTGTAAAGAGACCCTCTAACATGTGAATTCCTGAGCCTGCGGAGCTCGCTGCTCTGTTTACACAAGGGGAACCCACAGCGGCAACTAGTGAACGAAGGACGGGCTCGGACTCTGCTTCCCACTGCTGGCAGATGTCATCTGCGCCACTCTAAGCACAAGGTTGGACATGAGAGCCTTCCAGGAACAAGAGAAGCTTGGGACAGACTCCCAGGGATGCCCAGGATGTACCCAACCCTTCCATCCCTCAGTTCCAGGTTCACACCCTCCCAGATGGCCTCAGCCCACAGAAGCAAGAAGAGAACATCTTCCTCCACTTTCCCACCCACAATGCCTTCGACTGCAAAGCATTGCTAAGGGTGCAAGAGTTTCCATGGAAACCAGGTAGGGTCCAGAGCTGCAATCCCATTGGATTTCCCCAGAGGGAAAAACCTTCCATACACCTTCAAGGCAACTCTCTGGAGAACATTCTGTACAGCTAGGCATATCCATGTTACGTGGGTTGTCAACAGCACGTTCATGTCTTAAGAGGCTTTTGGGGCCATGGTGGGAGGTGGAGCTGTGCTGTGATAAACGGAGGTGGCCTGAAGGCAGGGCCCTAGACAGTCCTTCCAGCCTTCATTCAGTGAACAGAGGAGCCCCGGGTCATGGAATCGCAGCATGTGCTTCTCGCCTGCTAGGGTGCTGAAGCCCGAAGTATGCAGGGACCCAGACAGAGTGACTATTTGGACCTGCTAAAGCCTCTGCACATCTGCTCACCCCTCACTTCCGGCTGAAGCCTGTCCAAAAGTTCCCGAGTTTCTCGCTAACCCATCTCTGTTCTGCCTTTGCCTCCAGCCCCGATTATGCGGATCTCTACCCTGCAGCAACTTCATACTGGGGCCAAGATCTCCAGAAAGTGGATCTCATCATGCCACAAGGCCAAGTGCACATGCCAGGAGAGGGAGGTGCAGATGCCATCTGCCTCCTGGGCCTCTGCTGTGAGCCAGTCTGTGTTATCTCCACCTCCTGCCCACTGCCCTCGGCCCAGCAAAGCTGCAACTCCCAACCCCACAGCCTGATTTTCCTGCCTTGGATGGCGTCCCCGAGAGCTCCAAAGGCAGGCTGAGAAAGGTTCCAGGGATTTAAATTCCCTGTGCTGGTTCCCTGAGACCTCAGTGGCCGGAGATGACAGAAACCATTCATTTGCCAACAGGACATTGTTATGAGTGAAAACCATATGCACATTGAGGCTTCAGCTCCTATTGCTTCCTATTTGTCTGCTTTATGCTTCTGTTTTCTTGCATCTGAACAAAGCAGCCTTCCAATTTCCTACTAGTTTAATGGGTCATAACATAAAGATTTGATTATACAAATGGAAAATAGGCCTCCTAAGGAAAAAACGGGCTTTAAAAATGCCAAAGCATTATTACCCAATTACTAGTGTTATAATGAAGAAATACTTTTAAAAGTTCTTTGCTATTTGCAATGAATATTTCCAGCAAATTTTGGAAACACTAGCTGGAAAGTTGAGCATATGTTTGTGAAAAAATGTGTTGATGGGGGTGTGCAGGCACGCAGGTGTGTAGATATACAGATGTGTAAGTGTGCAAGTGTGTAGTGTGTAAATGTACAGATGTGTATTGTGATGTGGGCGTGCAAGCAAACAAACGTATAGATGTGCGGACATGTATGAAGGCATGGATGCACAGGCATGTGGGTGTGCAGGTACATGGATGTGCAGGTATGTGGGTGTGTACAAGGGTGTAGGTATGCAAAAGCATGCCTGTGCAGGTGTCTGTACATGGAGGTGTGTGAGTGTGCAGGTACATGGATATGTAGCTATCTGTGCACAGGGATGTGGGTATGCAGATACTTGGGTATGTAGGTGTAATGTGTGGGTACCCAGGGTGTATAAATGCACAGGTGTGTGGGCATGCAGATATGCCGGTACCCAGGTATGCAGTCACATGGGAGTACATGGGGATGAAGGTGTATACACAAACAGGCACACAGGGATAGGGTAAGATGTAGGGGTCTGTGGGAGTACAGGCGCTCAGATGTGTAGTTGTATGTGGATCTGATGTATGGCTATGTAGGTACACAGATATTTCTGTGTTGGGTCATGTAGAGGCCAGAATGTGTGGGTATGCAGACATGTATGTGAGCAGGCGTGAGGGTGTACAGGTGCATTTGTGCATGGGTGATGTGGGATCCCCTCTGTATGCTGTGAATATTATTAGTTAATAAAGGAACTGCTTTGGGCCTATAGCAGAGCTATAGGGAAACAGAACTAGGTAGGGAAAACTAAATGGAATGCTTGGAGAAAGGAGGTGGAGTCGGAGAGAAGCCATGTAGCCCTGCCAGAGATGGACACCGGAACTTTAGCCGGTAAGCCACAGCCCCGTGGTGATACACTGATTAATAGAAATTGGTTAAATTAACATGCAAGAGTTAGCCAATAAGAAGCTAGAGCTAATGGGCCAAGCAATGATTTAATTAATACAATTTCTGTGTGATTATTTCAGGGTTAAGTGGCCGGGAACAAACAAGAGGCCCCTCCTTCTCCACATGGGTCTGCATGTTATGCAGCAATATGAACAAGAGAGACAGAGAGGAGAAAGATGGAGAGGGGACTTCTCTGCAGCTCTTCATATTTTCCATGAGCTGAATTTATAGGATCTTCATCTATGATCCATAGCTCAGACACGGGGCTATTAGAATCCCTAGAGGCTGGGGTGAGATGGGAGGGCAGTTCTATATCCCTCGGCCTGGGAAATGTTTTAGTTTAAAAATGGCCTGGAAGGACGGGAGTGAGTGGTACACAGTTCGAGTCCCAGCACTCAGGAGGCAGAGCAGGTGGATCTCTGAGTCCGAGGCCAGCCTGGTCTACAAAGTGAGCTCCAAGTCAGTCAGGGCTACACAGTGAGACTTTCTCAGGAGAAAAAGAAGACCTGGAAAGTAAGGGACAGCTTCAAATGAGGGTAAAGAATGGAGCGCAAGTCAGGGGATGGTGGGGAGGAGTGGAGACTGTGGCAAACAGGGCATGCACTCCTTCTGTGGACAGCAGCTACTCAACTCCAGCCAGTTGTTGCACAGGGGCTGGGCAGGCATCAAGAGATACCAAGCACTCAGGATTCAATGCAATGTGTGTGTGTGTGTGTGTGTGTGTGTGTGTGCGCGCGCGCGCGCGCACGCGTGAGGTCTCATGTAGCTCAGATAAGCCATATTATACAACTGAGGATGACGTTGAACTCCAGACCTCCTTCTTTCAATTCTCAAAAGCTACCAATATTTTTAGATATTGGTTCAAATCTTTAGAAACACTATCCATGTCCACACCACATATCTGCTGACCACATCTGTCCCAGGGCTAAGCACGACCAGCTATCCACTCCCCTGGGATCCAGGATTCAGAGTGGACCTGGTGGTGGTCAGCTCCAGGGCTTCCTGGGCATTGGTCTCACCTTTCCCGGATGAACTCGGACATCTCTTTCTGCATCTGCTTGCCTTTCAGTTGCTTCTGCAGCAGCAGTTCAAACCCAGCCACCGTGCCATTGCCTTGTGGGTCCTTCTTATCCGCCTAGGAAGAAACAAAAGCCCGATCATCTGGGAGCAAGCTGCATCCTGCGCTTCTAGGATCCATTGCAGATCATTGCCAGGCAGCCACTGCAGCTTGCAGAAACCCCTCTCACTGGGAAGAGCTTCATGGGACCTTTTCCCTGTTCTGACCACAGTGACACTCTTTCTTCAGCAACACTGACCCAAGACATACCACTAACACCTTTCCTTAGAGGGAGATTACCATCATGGCCTACTGAGGCTACTCTATCTCCATCATGCCCTCCTGAGGCTTCTCTATCTCCACCATGCCCTCCTGAGGCTTCTCTATAGATGCTTAAGGTGTGCTCACTTCATCCTGTGGATGCTACATCTTGATAGAAAGGCAAGGAAGTCACCCCGATGACTATGCCCAAACCTGCTTCCCTCAGGGGTAAACAGGCTGAACGACCCACTGCTCTAAGAAAAACGAACAAGAGCAGTGTGCTTCAAAGACTGTCATTGAGGAGATGTTTCTACTAAGAGGAAAAGGCTTTGACAGTCAGAAGAGGAAAACCACCGAGGGACCAGGAGCCAGAGTTCAGGTTAAGGTGAGAACTCTTAGCTAAGCATGGCAGCGTAGGCCTGTGATCCCAACCCCTGGGAAACAGATGCACAGGGTGGCCAGGTGGTCTCAACACAACCCAAACTAGCAAATGAGGGACACAGGTGATCAAATGTGGTTCCCCAGGATGCCAGTGAAGAACAGGCAGGATCACATGCTCTGCCCAGCTCCACGACTTTCTTGTCTCCCCTCTAGGACATGCCCTGGTCCCTAGAGCCCTAAGGATGACTTCCACACACATGACAGCCACTCTTTATTCCTGCAGCTGCCACCCATTCTTCCTGGTCCACTCACTCACCTCTCACCCTCCATTCCCATCTGAAACAGACACAGCACAGGTTACACCCAAGTCTTCCTTAAAACTCCCTCGGTACCTCCCTACTACAGACAGCAAAGACACGACTTCCTTCAGGCCTCCAGAATCTTCCCATCTCCTTACTGCACACATGTCTCTCTCCTGGGTCATCTCCCACAGCCCCCAAAGCTCCCGTGTCCTCTGCAGACCTCTATCTTACAAGCAGGACAGTTTGAGTAGCAGGACCGCTCTACAGGGTCAAGCAGGAAGCTTGGGTGCTTTCTAAGGGGTGCAGGATTTGGGAGAAAGAAAAAACACTTTGGGCTGGTATTTAACAAATCTAAAAAGAGGGAAGATAATCCATTCTGTGCCACGGTGGGAAGAGGTTTTTATTTATTGATTGTTCCTTGGGGTCTTTCCAAAAGTGCCTTGTAGAGATTTAGTCATTTTCCACAGACAGCCGAGGTGCCATGAACCCTCACCACTATGACTGCAGAAGGGTCAGTGTCCCTGCAACTTTAAAATGCAAATGCTCTGGGCTAGCTCTGGCATCCTTGATGTACGGGACTTTGCATACACACTAAGACATCATTTTAACGGTGGGAAAATATACATAATGTGAGATTTATTGTTGTTGTCATTATTTCTAAGTGCATACACAGTTTAGGGACACTAAGAGTATTGAGACTGAGGTGGTGACATTCTGGCATCCATCATCAATAGAAACTTCTCATTTTGCAACAGGCAACTCTGTACCCACTAAGCAACACACAGGACTTGAGAGCCGTGGGTGCTGAAAGAGACAGTTTATACATCCCTGTACCTGACTTCCTCATGGCTCGGTTGGGAAAAGCAACATGCCAAGAGGCAGAACGTGTCCCCAAGGCCACTCACAGTGGTGTCGAGCAGGCCTGAAGCTCAGATTTCTTCATTAAAAGTAATTCTACTCTCCTGCCTCCACCCAGCCCTGGAGGGAGCTGTCTTTCAGCTTTCTGGCATTCTGGTTGTGGTTTCCATGTTACAATGCAGGAAAACCACACAGATTTCCTGGGACTGCCAGAATGATCCAGAATCCAGCAAAAGTCCTGTCTGAGATGCCAAACTGGACACCACACTTTGCAGCTTCACCAAGAAAGGCCCCTTCCGCCCTTCCCAGGGGTACGCTGCTGTTGGGGTCACAGTGGAGGGAAACTGAGGCAGGACTCACCCAGAAGTAGTCACAATAGCTCCACTCGGTCGGCTTGAGCAGCTGTTGTTCAGGCATTGTGTCTGGGTGAGGGAATGTCACACAGTTTATCTGCAGAGAAAGAGAATGCTGTCACTGCTGGATCAAGTGGCCGGAGCACAAAGGACACCTCCCCAGGGACACTTTGGTGGAATGTACTCAGCAATCTTTCCCTGTGTCAGCAGCCAGTGGGTACTTTCAATAGGAGGCAACCGGCCCCCACACCCATCCTAGAGGCTACACAGAGGGAACGCTCTCTGGTGAGAATTTAATCGGATCTACCACAATTGTAAATGCCTAGATCTTGTGACCCAGCCGCCGTGCTTCTGAGAGACCGTGCTACAGACGTAACTGCCCATGTGTGCAGGGATGTACAAGCCTGGTATCTACCACACACTGGCTATGCCGGTGAAGGCTGGACCAGAACCACACTGTCCAACAGGAGGGGAATTCGTAAGGAAAGTCTGAGAGGAGTCAGGAGTGGTGGTACCCTTTGCAACCCCAGCACCCAGGAAGGAGAGGCAGAAGGCTGAGGAATTCAAAGTCACCCTAGGCTAGACCAAGGGATTCTGAATCACAAGCAAAAGGCATCTGCAGAGGTGAAAGGAACATGTATGTTGTGATGAACAAAGGCAGAAGTCAAACCGTTTAGGGAAACATGACAGCTATTGGGAGGAGGAGTAAGGAGGAAGAAGGTAAGGAAGCATGGGAAGGTTAGCACAGTACACAGTATGTGCTAGTATGAAAATGACCTTATAAGACACAGGGCCACGTACAATGAATACGCACACGAAAAACAAATCCGTGCTACAGCAATAGAGCTCGCCCACACTGATGAGGAACAGTACCTGGATGTGCTGCTAAGGGGTGAGTGCGTCTGAGTGCACAGCTGTACAGTGTAGAAAGGTTTAGTATCACAGTGTGCTCCATTTGTATGAAGAAGTAGGGTAATATCTGTGTGTTTGGTATGTCCTGTGTGGCATCATTCTGGAAGCCAGAAGCTAAACTTGAATTTGCTTCTAAGAAGAGCCAAGGATAGGGCTGATTTAGAAGCGCCGGAGGGCTGGGGGTGAGAGATTATACTGAGATAGATGCCTGTGGTATGAACATCCACAGTTTAAACATACAATCCCGGGTGTATGCTTGGGGCTGGTCCTTAGGATGGAGAGTGTGGTGTGGAAGTTTCTGGGCGCTTAAAGCTATTGTTTCTCCCAGCTGTGTTTGTGATCCTCCCTAGCTGCCTCGGCTTTGTGGGAGTGGCTTGTCCCCCTTTGTGGGAGTGGCTTGTCCCCCTTTGTGGGAGTGGCTTGTCCC